CCCCTTCCCCGCCACGTTTATTTATTCATATAGTCATCTAGTTGTGCTTGCGGGGCTTGAACTCTGGCTCTTTGGTCCCGACTCTCAACTGGTGTACAACTTCCTGAGCCTACTGGGCTCTATCATATCTACATTTGAAACTGTGTATGGAGTCAGCCTCCACCACATCATTGCCTAATGCATTCCATTCGTTAACTACTCTGACACTGAAAGAGTTCTTTCTAACGTCACTGTGGTTTATTTGGATACTCAGTTTCCACCTGTGTCCCCTTGTTCGTGTACCACCCGTGTTAAACAGTTTATCCTTATCCCACCCTGTCAATTCCTCTGAGAATTTTGTGGGGTAACGATCATGTCTCCCCTCACTCTTCTGTCTTCAAGTGCCGTGAGGTGCATTTCACGCTGCCTTTCCTCGCAACTCATGCCTCTTAGTTCTGAGACTAGCCTAGTGGCATACCTCTGAACTTTGTCCAGCTTCGTCTTGTGCTTGACAAGATATGGGGTTCAATCTGGGGCCGCATACTCCAGGATTGGTCTTATATATGTGGTATACAAGGTTCTGAATGACTCCTTTCACAGGTTCCTGAATGCAGTTCTGATGTTAGCCAGCCTTGCATGCGCTGCAGATGTTATTTTTATATGGGCTTCAGGAGATAGGTCTGGTGTGATAGGAACTCCTAGAACTTTCTCTGTCTGTTTCATGACGGACATCATCTCCCATACGGTATCCTGTGTCTGGCCTCCTGTTTCCGATCTCCTGTTTCCACCACTCTGCGGGACTCCACTGGTGACGCCGCGCCACTCTGAGACCTCATCCCCTCACAATGACTCGCTGTCTTCTGTTGCTGAAGTACTACCTTATCCAATGGAGCACCTTCCCTTTCGCTCCTGCCTGCATCTCCAGCTTTTGCACTATCCTCTTGTGTGGTACTGTGTCAAAGGCTTTCTGGCAATCCAAAAATATGCAGTCTGCCCACCCCTCTCTTTCTTGCTTGATTTGTATTGCCTGGTCGTTGAATTCAATTAATCCTGTGAGGCAGGACTTGAAATTCCTGAACCCATGCTGTTGCTGTGTTACAAAGTTCTTTTGCTCCAGATGTTCCACTATTTTTTTTTTCTCAAAATCTTCTCCATCAACTTGAATGGGATGCAAGTTAGGGACACTGGCCTGTAGGTCAGTGCCTCTTGTCTCTCCCCCTTCTTATATATTGGGACTACATTAACCTTCTTTCAAATTTTTGACAGTTCGCCTGTTTCCAATGATTTGTTATTCATTATGGAGAGTAGCAGGCACAGTGCTTCTGTTCCTTCCTTTAGTATCCATGGTGAGATACCATCCAGGTCTATAGCTTTTGTCGCATCCAACTCTAGCAAAAGCTTCCTTACATCCCCACTGGTAATCCCAAACTCTTCTAGTGGTGCCTGGTTAACTATTTCCCTCTCTTATCTCTGGAACTTCTTGCTCTAATGTGAAGACCTCCTGGAATGTCTTATTCAGTTCCTCTCACATTTCCTTGTCGTTTGTGGTGAATCTGTCTACCCTATCCTCAGTTTCATTACCTGTTCCATCACTGTTGTTTTTCTCCTTGTGTGGCTATGCAGCAATTTAGGTTGAGTTTTTGCCTTGTTTGCTATGTCATTTTCGTATTGCCCTTCTGCCTCTCTTCTCACCCTGACATATTCATTCCTAGCACTCTGGTATCTTTCTCTGCTCTCAAGTGTTCTGTTATTTCTATAGTTTCTCATCTGCATTTCTTTTTTTCTTTTTTTTCTTTTTGACATATATACGAGTTCTTACATTCTTGTACAGCCACTAGCACCCATAGCGTTTTGTGCAAGTCCTTAATCCTAATTTTCACACACACATCCCCAGGAAGCAGCTGTCTAACTTCCAGGTACCTATTTACTGCTAGGTAACAGGGGCATCAGGGTGAAAGAATCTCTGCCCATTTGTTTCCGCATTCCGCCAGGATCAAACCCGGACCCTTCGACTACGAACCCCAAGTGCTGTCCACTCAGCTTTCCATTATCTCCCGCACCACATTTGTCATAATCTTACAACAGTATTGCTTCTAACATTACGTTACATTGTTATGAGACAAACAAGTATATACAATGCAGGTATATACTGCAAGTAACGTGCAGGCAGTGCAAGTTTACAGTCTGTAATCTTGCACTGCCTGCGAGTCTCACCCTGCTTATCTCATGACTGTGAACAAGTAACGTTAGCTTCAGTACTGTAATTGTTATTAATCTTGTAATGTGAGCACAAATTTCAGCAATATAACACCTATTATTAAGACGATTCGACGAAGCTCGTTTTCTGTTTATTAAAACCTTATTGTTTATTATGTAAGGTTGTAATAGCTTAGGTTAGGCTACACTGGGTTAGGTTAGATGGGATCCCAGTGCTTGCTGCCTGAGGGACTCTTGGGGTTTCCCAAATCGTCAGTCATCCCATTTGTGGGGGTTGCATCCTGGGTGGGAACAGTGAGGGGGTTAGTAATGTGACCTTGGAGGAGGGGCTCGATATAAACCTGACGTGTACTCACCTAGTTGTGATTGCGGGGGTTGAGCTTTGACTCTTTGGTCCCGCCTCTCAACAGTAAATCTACTGCTGTACAGACTCCTGAATTTCTCGAGCTTTATTATATCTACATTTCAAACTGTGTATGGAGTCTGCCGCCACCACATCACTTCCTAGTGCATTCCATTTACTAACTACTCTGACACTGAAAAATGTATTTCTAATGTCTCGGTGGGCTTATATGGGTACTCAGCTTCCACCTGTGTTTCCTTGTGCGTGTACCACCCGTGTTAAATAATCCATCCTTGTCTACTCTGTCAATTCCCCTGAGAATTTTGTACGTGGTGATTATGTCTCCCTGAGCTCTTCTGTCTTCTAGCGACGTGAGGCACAGTTCATGCAACCTTTCCTCGTAACTCATGCCTCTTAGTACTGGGACTAGCCTAGTGACATAACCCTGAACTTTTTTCCAGCTTTGTCTTGTGCTTGACAAGGTACGGGCTCCATGCTGGGGCCGTATACTCCAGGATTGGCCTTACATGTGTGATATACAAGGTTCTGAAAGATTCTTTACACAAGTTTCTGAAGGCAGTTCTGATGTTAGAGAGCCTTGCATACGCCGCTGATGTTATTCTTTTGATGTGAGCTTCAGGAGACAGGTTTGGCGTGATATCAACTCTTAGATCTTTCTTTTTGTCCGTTTCATGAAGGACTTCATCTCCCATTCGGTATCCATTGTCTGGTTTCCTATTTCCACCGCCTCGTTTCATTACTTTACATTTACTTGAGTTGAACTTTAGTACCCATTTGTTGGACCATTCCTTCAGTTTGTCTAGGTCATTTTGTAGCCTCATGGTATCTTCCTCTGTCTTAATCCTCCTCATAATTTTTTACACCATCAGCAAACATTGAGAGGCATAATACATGCCTCACCTTTAAATTCTGCATTCTTCTTGTGTCCTGTATTGTATGTATGTACTTTTCCCCTAAGTAAAAAATAATGATTATACTTTTATTATTGTTAGTGGGTCCCGGTAGTCAACCCGTCCTCGACTCAAGTCCATTACATCCAGCGGTCGACCCCACAGACGCATTCATAAATTTTAATATGCTGTTCATTCAAAACGGGAATTTTCTCAAGTATAAATTAATATTATAATATATTAGCATATTGTGCATATATAGGCATAGGTTAGGTGTTTATGTTCTGTTGGCGATTATTTGTATTTGTAGTACGTGGGTGAAGCATTTATAGCGTTGTGATTCGAACAAAATTCGTCAGTGAAGCACTTGTTCCGGATATGTTTGAACGTCAGCAGTTATGAGTCGTGTGTAAACCGCTTTTCATTCATAAACAGGGAGTTTGGCGGGTGCATGGAATCACTTTTGGATCTTTGTTTGGAGGACGGGCTGTGGTAGTGCAGCCTGGTTCGTTCTCGACATTCAGTCGAGAATTCCGGGTTCGAATTCCAGGCAGGAGAGAAATCAGCCGACCTCATTAGTTAGTTTAGTTCATTTATTATGCACCCCATACCCATCTTGTGGGCGGTAGTGGAAAGGGTTACAGAGGCACATAATGGGCTCAGGGACTGAACCCCACAATTCATTTAGCTAAGCAAGTTACAATCTTGATGAGCTAGTTACAAAATTCAATATAAGTCATCACATCAACAATGGGTTCGAGATCGACCTCAAGTACAGGTTCTAAATTAAGCAACTGACATATGTGGAGAGCTAGTGTCAAAATTTATATGTTTGTCCTGCACACCGCCCCCCATCCAGTGGGCAGCGGTGGATAGGTTACAATCACTTAGTTACTACCTACAGTTAGCAAACTGGGGATATTTGGCTAAAATTTCTGGTAGCAGATCATTTTGAATGAAATATTGACACATCGCTGGAACATTGGTTATAGAATTGTCTCTAAATTCACAAAGACCAAAAGTCATGCACCCGCCAAACCCCCTGTTTTATACATATAACGCGGTTTACACACAATTTACAACTGATGACGTCCGAACACTTTTGGAACAAGTGCTTTGCTGACGACTTTTGTTCCAATTACAACGCTGTAAATGCTTCACCCACGTACACAAATAATCGCCAACAGAACCTAAACATCTAACTTAACCAGTGCCTAAATCAGCACATATGCTAATATATAACAATATTAATTTATATTTGAGAAAAATTTTGTTTAGAATGAACAGAATGTTAAAATGGATGAATGTGTCTTTGGGGTCGACCGCTGGATAGAATGGACTTAGTTCGAGGACGGGTTCGGGACGCTGACGACTTTTGTTCGAACCACAACGCTGTAAATGTATTACAAATACAAATAATCGCCAACACGTACTACAACATACAAATAAGCGCCAACAGAACCTAAGCACCTAACCTAACCAATGACAAAATTCCAATTATTAAAATTTATGAATGCGTCTGTAACGTTCGATTATGTTACGTTATTGGGTAGATTAGATAGTGTTTAGTGGGTTTTGATATTTATTTTGTAGTCTTAGTTACAGCAGTCGGTTGTTGGCAGTGTCGTAGACGTTGAGACGAAACTTGGATCAGAGCAGAGAGCTAAGTGAGGCCGAAGTCGCGGAGCTCTATGTGGGAGAGCGTGGCAGCCCGAGCTTGCTCAACCCCCGCAAGCACAACTTGTTGAATACAGATTATATTGAAGTCTGACTTTTGGAGTGACCATTGTATATTTTTCCAAAAGTGCAGTAGTTGTCATTAAGTGGATGGACAGCGATATCAGATATTTACAGTTTTAGTATTTGTAGAGTTGCAGCCCCGCTCCTGTGCCTGGTAAGTCCGCTACGGGCTCACTATAGCCCGTACTGCTTGGAACTTTTTGTTCCCAGTAGCTGAATCTATAACAACAACAGTATTTGTGTTGGCCTACATATGAAGGAGCGCTTTCTCCCTAACCGTTCTGATGACACTTGCGTTGTGATCTTAGGATTGGTATTTGGTAAGCCATCTCGCCTGTAATCAGGAGTGCAACCTGTTTCAAGGGATATCGTCTATGCTGGCAGAGCAGGTAAGTTGAAGTAAAGTTTATATTTCTGCACTTTGCTTTGAGAATGGGACAATATCTAGTCTACATTGCCTTGGACCTCATAATGTTAAAATTCCGACTAGAAGTGAAGTTGAGCACAAAACCTGCAGCGTGGGAATTGCGATCTTATGCAGCTTGCTATGGTATGATACCCGAATTGACCGGAGGGCCACAAATACTATCCTCCTCCACGAGCGCAGGAAGCTGGCGGCTTGTCAAAGGGCCCCCTATTTACCCTGATGATATTTTCTTATCTGTATTTTAAAACTCAGCTGAATTTTGGCGTTTACAGCTTCAGCGGGAAGGCGGTCCCACGGGTTTACAACCCTATGGGTGAAAAAGCATCTCCTGTTTCCTGTCCTGCATGGGGCTTGGTGAGCTTGAACCTGTTGCGCCTTGTTCGTTTTACAACTGATCTTTTGAAGAAAGTGTTGGGATCTACATCGTCAAAATTGTTTAGTATTTTGAAGGTTTTTATGAGATCCGCCCTGTCATGCCTGGTCTGCAGTGGTGTTAGCCCTGTGGCCCTCAACCGTTCCTGATGCAAGAGATGACTAAGCTCTGGTATGATTTTTGTTGCCCGGTGTTGCACCTTCTCCAGGGCAGATATGTCTTTCTGAAGATGTCTCCATGCCTAGATGCAATAATCCAGGTGGGTGCGCACCAGAGACTTATACAATTGAACGACTACTTTCTTTTCCTTGAAGATAAAGGTAGCTTGATTATCCCCAGAGTTTGGTTCGCTTTTTTTTTTACTGCCGCTCCCACTTGTGCAACTTTTAGTGAATGATGGATTCTGATTCCAAGGTCCTTTTCTTCATCTATCTGCTGTAAGGTAATGCTGTCAATTTGGTAGTTGTGACTTGGATTGTTATGCCCCACATGCAAGGTCATGCATTTATCGACATTAAAGAGCATTTGCCAGTCATCTGACCATTTATAGAGTTCATGTAGATCTCTTTGTAAGGTCTGAATATCACTTACTTCCCACTTTACCATAGATCTTAGTGTCATCTGCAGATTTTATGGTGATTTATAATACTGTATTCTCATCTTTGTCATTGATGTATACTACAAACAGGGTTGACCCCAAAATTTACCCTGTGGGACCACAGTCAAATTCATTCCCGTTTAGCACGACCCTTTGTTTTCTGTTTTATCCATTCTAGTATTCTCCCATTTATTCCATGTGCCTGTAATGTCCTTGTGGTCTCCCATTGTCAAACGTTTTAACAAAGTCCATGTAAGCTACATCTACCGGAAGTCATTTTGTCTGAATAGCTGGTTACCGTTTCCAGAAATGTGAGCAGATTAGTGAGGCAGGATCTATTTTTAGCAAACCCATGTTGCGTTGATTTTACAAGATTGTTCTCTGTGAGATGTATTGTTCCCTCTATTATGATTCTCTCAATGAGCTTCCAAATGTGCGATGTCAAGCTGGTCGGGCGGTAGTTTTCTGCCGAGCTTTTTCTGCCTTTTTTTATTTTAATTGAGCGTAACATTTGCATATTTCCAACCCAGGGGGATTATCCTTTGGTTCAGGGATTTTCTGAAAAGTTGTTTTAGTGGTATTCATGATGCATTTGCTACTTCCTTTACGACTTTGGATTGAACTCCATCCACACCTGGGGCTTTTGAGTCTTTTAGTTTGTCAATGCTCTTCCTGATTGTGTCACATGTAGTGGGTATATCCCTTAATTCATTCTCTTCACCTCCTTCAAACATTTGTGTGAGTGATGGGATGTCGTTCAATCTTTCTAGTGTGAACACTGATGTAAAGTATTCATTCAGAGTGTTTGCTGCCCTTTTATCATCCAAAATAACTTGGGTAGTCTCACTTTTTAGGGGTCCTTCAGAGTCCTTTGTTTTGGTTTTACTACGTATATATGCATAGAATAATTTTGGATCTTCCTTGGATGATCTTTGGATACACAGAAGATTTTTTCAGGAATGTATTTGAATGAATGAATGTATGAATGGTGATGCAGCACTGGGAGCCACCCTGTTCTCATTGTATAAACATCTCCGCTTGTGTTGGTAGTTTTGGTGGCTTCACATGGTTCCAATTTTAGTTTCTCTCAGGTCAAAATGCTTTCACTACACCAACCATACAGCTGAGTGGTAGTGAAATGGATTTGTCAAGGAGAATAGTGACACTTAAGGACTGCAGTGATGATGAGACATGTCTGATGAGCCAGAAAGAGCACACTAAATTATTACTCTGCACAGTATTTTTGTTTCATGTTAACTCTCTGCATATACATTATAGTAATCTTACTGTATGTCTTATTATGTTAATTGCTTAAATGACTTAAAATGTGATTTTTGTAAATGTATTTGTACAGTCTTATATTTTTATTTCAGTAACTTCAGTTGGATTTGCACTGGTGCTGAAATTAAGCTTCAGTAGTTTCCTGAGGTTCCTGGTGTACACGGTGTGTGTGGATACTCTGGCTGCTGGGGTCATAGTTGCTACCATCCTCTGGTGAGTTAATCTTCCTCCCGACCTTCATTCATTCCCTTGCTTTTATGGTAATTACTCTCGCAGTTCTATCTGTCACCTGTGTGCAGTTTTGCGTATCATAATTTTATGTCGCGAAACACTATGGGTGCTAGTGGTTTTACACGAATGTAAAATCAACTTCATTTCTATGTTCTCTCTTAACCCCCAATGTACCTTCTTGTATATGAATAAATGTGCTATCTTGCTGCTCTCATACTGTATATATGAGAGCCTTAAGGGCCTGCAGGCCACAGTTATGCCAGCATTACTGTGTGACACTGGTCCTGCTGCTGATGCAGTTTCCCTCGTGTATAATACTTATAAGTCACTGGAGACAGTGTCATCCAGTGAAAATAGACCGTTGCTCAATTGTCTGTTGGCAAGCACTAGCCCTTCCAGAATTCCCAGTGATGTCATATTTGTGAATGAAAATGAGAATTCTGGATGAATCTTAACCACCGAGCTGCAAAACCTTTCCCAACACAGGGTACACTGGTTTATTCCAACCCGTTCTCGCAAATTTAATAAGTCAATATTGACTTATTAAATATGTGCATAGGTGACATACTTAACATAATAGTTTCCCCTGAAAAGCTTCATAGAAAACACCGACCTTACCTAACCTACTTAGTATGTTAAGATAAGCATCTTATTGCTTCATAATTACAATTATTACCTAACCTATACCTATAATAGGTTAAGTAACAATTGTAATTACGAAGCTATAAGATGCTTATTTTAACATACTAAGTAGGTTAGGTAAGGTCGGTGTTTTCTATGAAGCTTTTCAAGGGGAAACTATTATGTTTAGTATGTCACCTATGCACGCAACTAATAAGTCAATATTGACTTATTAAATTTGCGAGAACGGGTTGTTTATTCCCTCCATACATACAGTCTGAAATCCCCACAGAGTCAGGCTGTTCAAGTTCAAGTTCAAGTACAGTATGTTTATTCTTTCTTGTCTCAATAAACATACATGAACTTGAACAACTTGAACAGCCTGACTCTGTGGGGATTTGGTAAGCAGGAGATAGGTTGTTAAAAGTTTATTGACTGTCATATCAATGTATATCTAGCACTGCTAAACTAACCTCAATTGATGTATCCACACATTTATTATAGGCATTTATAATAAGCTCTAAAAACTGTTTACTTTTTTATTTTGATTATGTTTATTATAAAACACCTTGTTAACTATACCATACTTCCTAGAGGGCTGTAACAGAACCCTTGGCCATCATATGAGAAACAAATATCATTTTGATATTCAAGAGCATGACTTAACCAAAACAAAAATGCTCTGCAAATCAAGGATCTCAAACTACTGAATGACCTCAGTAATGAGATTAAAAATTGTACTTTTCCCTACACAGTTTAAAAGACATACTAAGAACTACTTTACTCTTCTTAGTGTGTCTTCTTTAAGAGACACTATGAAGAGTGTCCTAGTGTCATCAAAGACACTAAACACTTCTTGTGTCTTGTGCAGCCAGTCTCAAATCCAAGCGAAGGAGAATTCAGCAAATTCAATTTTAATAACTAAAAGGATTAACTGGGAACAAATAAACCAAGACCTCACAGAAATATGCTGGCAAAGACAGCTAGATAATGCAAACTTAAACCAGTGCCTTGAGAAAATAGGCACAGTAGCACAAGTATATATACAAGATTTTTTTCATTCATTCTTGTACAGCCACTAGCACACATAGCGTTTCAGGCAAGTTCTTAATCTTAATATTCCCTTGAATACGACTCCACTAAATCGTTTAACATGAAACGCCAAACTAGAAGACCAGAGTCTTTAACATGCATTCCATGCAAGATATTAGAAAAAGTCATCAGAAAAAGTATTGTAGAATATTTGGAAAAACAAATTTGATAAAAAAGGCCCATCGTGGCTTCAGAGAGGCAAAATCATGCTTAGCAGACTTGATGGAATTTTATGACAGGGTCACCAAAATAAAACACAAGAAAGAAGGATGGGTAGACTGCATCTCTATAAACTGCCAAAAAGCTTTGATACAGGTTCCTCACAAATGACTAATAAACAATATGGAGAAACGAGGGGGAATAACAGGAAATGCACTGGGCTTCATATGGGAGTACTTGACAAACAGGAAACCACAGATTTCAGAGATATATACTCTGAGAGTATATATCTCTGACATATACTCGGAGAGTATATATCTCTGACACATACTCGGAGAGTATATATCTCTGACATATACTCGGAGAGTATATATCAGGCTGAAGTGGAGTGGAAAGTGGTGTTCCATAGCAATGGTCCTAGAATAGAGCCCTGTTTTTAATTTGTGTAAATAACCTCGCAGAGGGAGTGAGCTCATATATGTCACAAAAAGGTGGCTTGCTTGGTTTGGGATTTCACTTTCTATTATTTGGATCCTTGCTGATTGTTTTGGCTTGCCCAATGTTCTGATGGCCTTTTCTTGGTTAAAGAAATCTAGTATACCCTTCTCCTTGTGCCTCTTTAGAGGGAGGGGAGGGTCAGGTTTTGTCCTCTGTTTCCAAAGAGGCTTACAATAACTTGTAAGAGCCTGGGGTGGATTGAACTATATTCAGTTAAAATAAACCCACAAAGGACCCTCCTAAAAGGGTCCACCTTTATAGTCAACATTGGTTTTATGCAGTCCTGTGTTACGTTAGTTCTCTATTGGACATCTTGTGATAGGCATTTACATAAGCTATGCATAATATATATTAACATGGTATTCTTGCATTACAGGAGTATAACAAACCACTACATGATAAAGCCAACTTGTCGTGATCAAGATGTGGAGTGGGGTTATGCATTTGATGTCCACCTCAATGCATATTTTCCCCCGCTTATCATTCTTCACTTTTTTCAGCTTTTCTTTTATCATGGTAAGCTTTAGCTGTGGATAATATGTATTAGTAAGATTATTAATGACTTTTCTTTGGGGGGGGAGCCCCTCCGGCTATCTGGAGCTATCGGACTGATATGCGATATATTAGTGTGGGGCATCAGTCAATTGGAGTTCAGCCTACTGGGGACCATAAGTTAGAACCTGGCCCCCTCAGAGAGGTAAAGGGAGCAATGGCCTGTGGAAACCCCCTTATACTTGGAGGCATTCCATATCTGCCATCGACCGGGGTTATCACCCAGAAGGGTAGGCATAACAAAACAGACCCTCACATGGTAAGAAAATTGCAACCAAAGATCAAACAAAGGGACAAAACTCTCCCAACCTAAAGAACAAGTAAACATCACACACTGCTGCTGGTGCAGGAGGTCCAGGGCTCCCCCCCCCTCCCTATCCCAGGGAGGGGAGGGCTGCGTGGACAAGCAGTGTGGCGGCGGTGTGTGACGTTTGCTTGTTTGCTTGTTCTTTAGGTTGGGAGAGTTCTGCCTCTCTGTTCGGTCTTCAGTTGCAATTTTCTTACCATGTGGGGGTCTGTTTTGTTATGTCTACCTTTCTGGGTGCTAACCCCAGTCGATGGCAGACATGGAATGCCCCCCAAGTAATATGGGGGTTTCCATAGGCTATTGCTCCCTTTGTATCTTTGAAGGGGGGGGGGGGCAGGTTCTGAGTCATGGTCCCCGGTAGGCTAAACTTCAATTGATTGATGCCCCAGACTAATATATCGCATATCAGTCTGATGGCTCCAGGGAGTCGGAGGGGCTCCCCATAGAAAATGGCGTTTCATTACATTCAACCCTGGTTTGTTATTTGCAAAAATATTGAAAATTATTGCATATGTGATCTTGTGATCCTGTGGTCCTGGGTTCGATCCCAGGCGCCGGCGAGAAACAAAGGGCAGAGTTTCTTTCACCCTATGCCCCTGTTACCTAGCAGTAAAATAGGTACCTGGGTGTTAGCCAGCTGTCACGGGCTGCTTCCTGGGGGTGGAGGCCTTGTCGAGGACCGGGGCGCGGGGACACTAAAAAAGCCCCGAAATCATCTCAAGATAACTTCAAGATGTAATACAGTACAACAAAATCTTGAAAACGTGGGATTTAGTTATGAAGGTGTAACCACATAGTACAAGAAAAACTAATTCTGAGTGTTTTGACGTATTACTGTAATACATCAAAGAATAGTATAAATACAGGTCACAAATGCCCTTAGAATTATTAGTCACTTTTCATGTACAGTAGTTATTTATGCTTTGTTACACATATTTTATGTTTTCTTTGAAGAATTAAGTGTTTAGAAAGTGTAACATAGGTATAGCTACACTGTACTGTATAGTAATGGGAAAAGATGGATTTGAGAAGAATGAGTATACTGTAGTAGCAGTAGTTGGCATCCATCAGTCTTGGGAGACTATGGGGTTGCGTTCTGGTTGTCAGTCTGGAGTAGCCTCTCCAGGGCACAAAGCCAGGGTAGATTTATACGGGTAAAAGCTGTCACCCATGCAGTAGGTACCCCCTCTCCTTGGCGCCAAAAGTCTCCAATGGAAAGGCAAATACCAATACGATTAGTTCTAATTCATACTGTACTGACATAGTATAGTATGTGGGCCCAGTAAAGAGAATACAGTGCAGCATGTGGTCAAGGTAAAGTGTGCACAGTATGGTATGTGGGGCCAAGTAAGGAAAGAAGAAAGGAGAACCAACACTACTGTGGATTAACCCTTCAGCTGCACATCATATATGATGGGTACCTAAATATGTTCAGACTGCACATCACATCATATGATGTAGTAGGAAACTACCTAAAATGTTAAAGTCTTACACAGGACTAGGTGAGTACATGGGGCTCACAGTTGCTTCCTCAAGCCTCCAGTAACACACCCCCCATTTTGGAAAAATCCCGAGTCAACTTTCCTTCTAGGGCCTTAGTAAAAAAAATGAAGACCATATCTGGCAACATCACCATCCAGTGGGTGAACATGCAGGGCGGCCATACTAAGAACCACTGAACTTTTATCAATAGCAAATGAGTGATTACCATTATATATTTGAGGCAAAATGTGTGCTATGTCCACTAATAAGATTTAGGCTTATATAATGTGTACAGTATATATATACAGGTATATACTGTACACATATTTCTGTACATACTTATATTTTAAGTTATACCTAATGGACCCCATCTTTAACACATCAGAACAATTTTTTAGAAACAAAAATCTATATAAATAAAGTGAAAAACAATTAAAATAAATTGACAAAGTTATTCCCATGTGGCACCTCACCTCATTTATACTTAAAAAAAAAAAAAATCTCCAGCCCACTGTGGCTAAACCATAAGAGATATAGAAGTTTTCATTTGGATTTTTTCTTCCCGGATGCTAATTAACGATGTAAAAAAAAAATTGAGAGTAATTTATTTTATGCGCACCTGAATGTTGCATGCTAAAATCGCTGGATCAGCCGAAGCGTTGATAGGGCAGTCAGAAAATTGTACAAGGACAAAAAAAATCATTGTTTGCAGTACAGTAAATAATTTGTAGTTTTTAATATGTAAATTTGAGGTATTCTGTCATAAATCTTAGCAATATGATTACCTTAGACATTTCCTACACAAAAATTATAGTGACCCTTTAATGTATTTAAAAGAGATTGCACATGGTTTTTTGTTTGTCAAAATATGTTTACAGGTACTTGTTTTTTTTCTCTGTAATATGAGTGTGGTGATGCAGCACATCCTCCAGATGCCTTGAATCACATGGCTAGAGGTATCTAGTTCACACACGTGCCTGAAAAACAATATTAATATTTTTGTATCTGTTTCATTGCAGTTTTCATCAGCCAGGAGTGGTTTGTCTCGATACTCTTCGGCAATTTGTTGTGGCTCTTTGCCATTGGCTACTACATTTACATCACATTCTTAGGTTACAGTGGTGAGTTACTTCTTAATCTTTAGTGTATGTTATTACTTATTTGTTAACATGTGTTTGTACTTATGGGAAAAGAATTGTGCCTAAGGTATCTCATATTCTTTATGCAGTGTATTTGATATAAAATTACTTTTAGCTCAGGGATTTTGGCTCATGCTACCCTTGAGTTTATTCCAGCTATCTACAATTTGTTAGCATAAAAATATTATTTCTTCTATAGTATTTCTTAACGAGCTCATTCTGCCACTTCCTCTTGTGTTCCTTGGACAAGATCATGGCTGGTATACACTATCTACACTGAAGATTTCTTAAATAAGCCAGTAGTGACTGTTAAAGAGGGTCTGTTCATAAACTCATCACCATATGAAACACCTTCTCCAACATCACAGGGGGACCTTGGAGGTAATATTTGCTTAAATACCAACTACCTCATGGTGCACCTTTGTTGCTTCTCACTAGGTGGTAGCACCTTTCATACCTTCAACTCCACATATTTGACCTGTCTCTTGTACAGTACAATCTTGATAATCTGAATCATATTGTTTATATGAAAATTTAGATTACTAAATTTTCTGAGCAGAGGGCTCTTAGTTGCTCATTTCACAAACACCTGTGCTACCCCCTCAGAGGTAGTGTAATATCTATCTGGAGTTAGTGTGGCCTCTGAACTCCAAATAAAATTTTGAGTTCCAAGAGATTTGGATGCCTAGCAGTGTCTCTAGGCTAGAGACCAGGCATTGGTAGTGCTGGGCAAGTTTAGCTTTCTAGTAAATTTCTCAAAATCCCAGCTTCAGCTTTTACAGAGCCTTATGTGGTTGCACTTATTGCGGGACACCAAGGCAGTCCTGCAATAATGCTCTTTCCTGGAGGTTTTCTTTGGTCATCTAGAATTCTGCCTTAACTTTGGTGTTTCAGACATCTGTCACATTTGAAGCTCAGAGAGCCTTGTTGACAGGCTCAACTTTGCCTGTGTAGTTTATACCCTGGCCTACATCTAGTTGTGGAAACTCAACTGGTCTCTTCCCTTTGATCTTGAAAAGCCTGCTTATTGAGATGTTTCTGATGGCAGGTTTTCAGGTTAGTCTGATGGAGGCATTCTCCCCCAATCTTTTGAGCTCTTCACTGACACATCCCACCATGTTTGGAGTTTTGCCTCCAATGTTCACCATGTAGGTCAAGCTCAGTGGCCTCTGACTTTGGCTCTGTTTCATATTTGCAGGAATTGGTAGTACAGTAATTTTTCTCTGGAGATGTCAGCTCTCCCAATAGGTTATGTTTTTCATTCTAGCAACAGTTAGTGATGCATTTTCTCAATAAGGCAGGCTTCAGTCACGCTCCTCCTCTATGGCTCCTCCCGAGTTACCTTTGTCTTTTGATTGGGTGTTGGTCTTTCTTTCTTTTGTCCTTTTGGTTCTCTGTCGCCCTTTGGTTCATGATACCTTTTTCAAGGCTCTGTTTTCAGTGGTCCTCGCTTTCGGTTGTTGGGTTGGGGATCAAGGCTCTGTTTTCAGTGGTCCTCACTTTCGGTTGTTGGGTTGGGGATCTTCGTGCACTCTAGAAGCAGGGATTCTGTTCCTTTGGCCATGGCAGGCAGTTCTTCATTTGCAGCATTCTCCTTTACTGCTAAAGAACAAGATGGCTGGCTTCCAGAGAGGTCCTTTGGTGTGTGTTCATTCGTGAAGGCATTCTTTGCTGTGCCTGATTGTGGCTGTTTGTTGCTACCTGTGTGCCACTTGGACTACTTTTGGGGGGCTATGTTTGTTGCTCCTATTTCCTAGATCCCCTGTTCCAAGGCTTGTTTATCTGAGGTTGTCTGCAATGTCTTTAATCTAGGTAGCCTGTGATCTACCCTTGGGCCCATGATGTTCAAAAGTTTTTGGCTCTAACTGCAGTGCTTTCTAATGTCTTTGGCTGATATCAAGACTGGGGTTTTTCGGGTGTGTTACCTAATCAGTGTTCCTGGTCCCAGTTGGTCTTATGTTGCTCTTTGCCAGGTCTCACATCCTCGGATCTTTTCTTTGTGAGTCCAAGTCTTCTCTCTCCAACTGGTATGTACTGGTGCCCTTTCCTTATTCTCTGTGATTAGTTAGTAACAGGGAGCCACTGTTCAGCTCCTCAATGGCTTCTTGGTCCCTTCCCTTCCCCCTCCTTTTCCAGGTGTGGCATGGGAGCCGGCAGCTCCCAGGGTGCTGTCACTTGGCAGTGACTAGTTGTAACTAGAGGGTGGGTCCAAACTAACTATTGGGTGGATTATTTGCAGAGTCATTTGCTGCTTTATTTCTCTTTTCTATGAACCTTGCAGTTGTCTGTTTTGATTTGCTTACTTTCTGAATGTCTCCTTTGGTGAGTGTGATCTCAAAGAATCCCATGCCCCCTGTGCCTTTGTGAAGGGGCTAGATTCTTGCTCTGGTCTCTGGTAGGCTGTTTAGGATTCCTGGGGCTGATGTGACTCGTGTGTGCAGCTATCTCTTTGGGAATAATTATAGGAAGCCATTGAGGCCTAACCAGAAAGAGGCTTTGGTGTATATTCAGCACTGGGTTTATTCCCCTCCAGCCTGCTCATTCTCCTGAGTCATCTTGGCCTTTGGACAAGGTTTTGTATTTTCTCTCCTTTTCTTTGTTGTTTGTTGCCTCTTCAATCTGGGAGCGTTCCTTCAAGGCTTTGTTTTTGTTGGCCCTTGCTTCCAGATGTCAGGTTTGAGAGATTCACACTTTCCTCTGGAAGGGGAGTTTTGCTCTTTTGGTCTTGGAGTTACATGTATTTTCTTCTCTTAAAGGCCTCTCCTTCCTTTCTGGCTAAGAATGAGACTGTTATCTGTTAGTTTTTGAAGGGGTTTTTGGTGCCTGATGGTTGGTTCAGCCTGGGTGCATAATTTATTTTGGTTGTGACCATTTTCTATAACCTCCGCTCTGCTAATGGTGCACAGGAATATACTCATATACTCTGTGGGTTCCTCATCCATGGTTCCTTATGCTAGGGCCCATTTTTCTCAGGTTGACTGCAGTGTCATCAAGTTTAGCCAGTCTGTGATCTACTCTCTGGCACATTATGCTCATAAGTTTACACCTCTATCCACGTTTTTTCGGTTTTGGGGTATTGGCGGTTCAACAGTGCCGAGACCTCATTACTTAGTGAATGTTTTTGGATTACACTGGGCTTGTGTGGTTTTGGGGGTTATTAACGCGTCACTTATTCCCCCCTTTCATGGGCAAGTACCCTTTTTCCTTTTCTCCGTAGTGACTTAGCACCAAGGAGTCACCAATAGGAGCCCTCTTAGAATACCAGCTTTGAATGTAGTAAAATGCTTCTTTCTGATAGACCCTTGGGACCCTCCATTCTCCATTCAGGGGACTTCAGTGTTCTGTCTTCCTGGCTAAACTAATTACAGTACTGTAATTTGTTTTGCCAGGGACTTAAAGCTTATATCGAGCCCCCTCCCCCAAGGTTGAGCTGCTGACCTTCCCCAGGATGCAATCCTATACAGTAATAGTTGACTAACTCCCAAGTTCCTATTACTTGCTAGGTCAACAAGAGGCATTAGATGAAAGGAAACACGCCCAACCATTTCTGTCCAACCTCAGATATGAACCCAGGATTCCTGATTGTGAATTGTGAATGAACCCATCTCTACTACTGAGAGATTTATGGCTGGGGGATGAATGCAGGTGTGCATCATGGTTTGATTTTCTATGCTTTCATTTATCATTATGTTTTTATGTTTTAGTTTGTTATCACTCGCTTGGCAGAGCTCGTGTTCCTGGAAACGACTTCTAAAACTCCTTATTGGCCTGTTATCATAATTACTAACTACAGGATTCATTAATTAAAAACCACTGTTTATAAAAGGATGAAACACCAGTTTACTCTGTGGAATGCACAAATAAACAAAGTACAATCAAGATTAACAATTAAATGATTATGGGCTTATGACCACTGACACACAAATATATATACAACTTAGTAATAAATCATATGAATACCAGACTCATTGCAAAATACACAACCTCAAGCAAATAACAAACACTACTTCACTTCAGCTGGGACATCCAGTCTATTCCACCAACCACCTGCGACTACTCGACATTCGCTCCGACTGACAGAGTGAGCTCTCGGACACACTGTAGCCAGGAACCTGTAAATAATAATCCAAAAGCCACACTTCCTCACTGTGATAACACTGCCATACATGTATTAACATAAGTATGACACACATTAGACATACCTGAAAACAATATACTCATATATGTAATTATACTTCCTACTCTGAAAATAATAGACATTCAGTGACACGCACAGCTGGTACCACTGACGCTCACACGAACCCATCTTGTCAAATACCCGTCCAACACCAGTGACCACTCGTCACCACTCCATTAACCAACTCTTGTACAGTATAATATAGCAATGTATTATAATATCATAACTGCAATACAATCATATAAAATAAATAACATAACATAGCACTATGAAATGAAGCCAAAAATATGGACAACTGTAATACATACCTATTTTGAGGTCCAATGAAAAGTATAATATTTATAAATTGCATAGTTAGGAACCAGGTAAATACGTGGGTCATAACATAGTTCACCCACTTTTCTGGTGTCCTTCTCTTGGTTAAGATGAGCCCCTGGTCCTTGTGCCTCTTCTGAGAGGGCCAGGTTTTTGCCTTTGGATCTGGTACTGTAGGCTTAAAATTATTTGCAAAGGCCTGATGTGGATTAGATTGGATGGCATTTCATTACATTCATTGATGGACTTGTTTTACTTGTTCAGTGATATTCTTAAATTTGTCAATTTAATATGCTATGTAATTTATTGACTTGACTCATTTTTTCAGCATTACCCATTTTGCATCGGCCAAAAGTGTTCCTGTACGCTCTTCCTGTGCTGATGGTGTTGCTGCTGGTGAGCTTGGTGGTGCGAGTCAACCTTTGTAATGTGCTCATGAACTTCTATCACTACCGTGTGCTCTGAGTCACCAACCTGTCTCCATCTTAGAAGAATTTTTTTTTCTTTGTACACAGTTCTATATTATGTTATATTCAACATACTAGTTATAATTATGGCTGAATACTATTGTCTTTGCTTACTTAATTTTCCTGATAGCAAACCATATAGTTAGCTCCTTGTGGAAGTTCACTTTGCAATGAAACACTGAACATTGTGCCAGTTTTATCATCTCTTGTGTGGAAGCTTGATATATTTTGTATAGAGAATGAACTTGAATTGTATTTATTATTAGAATGTACAGTGATAAAGTAATTATATTTAGAAGATCCTGAATAATTGATAAGATTTGTTTTCTTTATTTACATAAAGAATGTGTTGCATTCTTACAAGGTGTAAGAATACATTATGGGTAATGTTTTAAGCTAGATGTAGTAATAAATATAAAAGTTACGTTACAGTATGACTATTGATCAAATAATTTCAAGTGCTTACTTATGAAAATTAAAGTTTTCAAAACAATTCTATATTTAATCATTATTCTGTTTTCTTAGCAACTTAGGCATTTTGGCAGTCTCCATCGTCCCTCTGTTTTAATGTCTTCCTTATGTACGTTTGCTGAAGAAATGCTCACCATTTCCACACATTCTTGAATTTCTGTAAAAAGTAGCATTTGCTTTGATTTTATGATAGCAAACTGCCAAATAGTAAACTTGAAAAGTAATAAAAACTGCCTTTAGTAAACTTGAAAAGACTTGCATAGTTTTTTAAGATGTAAAGATGGTGTTAAAGACTGAGAAGCAGCACTTCAGTATTTGTTGAACATTGTGTCAAAAATTTATTTTCATTTGGTTAAAGATTTTTCAAACTAGAAATTAGCTCATTAAAATCAACATGCTGTATTACGAGGTACTGTATTTATTTAAATCTCATGTTTATTAAACAGCACTTTATGGTACTGTACCTTTATATATAAGATCAATGCACTCATCACATACTTTTGTGTAAATATTGGCACCACAATATATAATGAAAGGAGGTTTCTTGGTTTATAAATCATTGATAAACAGCATCATCCAAATCCTTGTGATTTAAAATATTTCTATTTCGTCCCTTCATTTTCCATGAGTGCTCTCCATTTTATTCTCCAAATTTAAGATTTATTTTTGTTTGTGTGTGTGTGTGTCAGATACAGCACTAGTAAAAATGCCATATTCATTTACAATCCTCTTGCTTCCCAATCCTCGATCACATTTCTCTAACAACTCGGCCATCTTATTCATGGTAAGGAAGTTCCGCTGACCCTTGTCTGATGTCTGTAATGTACAGACATCAGACATGGTATACATCAGACAAGGTATGCCATAAGACATGGTTTCAATTCACCAATAATGATATACAGTATCAGAAGAAAAGCCACCAAAAATGCTTGACTAATAAGAGTTCAGATTACACTCAAACAATGAAAACATTTGATCAGAATGTGTACCCTCTAAGTAGGTCTAGATGCCTCAGGAAAATGGTACACAAAAAAAAGTTTATAAAATTGATAGTACATTACTAATCATGCTTAGCAAAACATCTATAAAAGATAATATCATTTTGAATAATACTGTACAGGGTATTAAAAAAATTGTAAAAATACTAAAAAAAATATAACCAATGGAAACTATTTTCCGTGAAGAACTGACAATTCGGGTTTCACTGCATTATCCTTCAGAATTCCGGATATTTTATATTTGAATTTAGAAGAGGGAAACAGTGAGTGAATTTGATCCTTTGGCTTTGTTTGATGAAAGTTCTGGATTTTTGAGGATGCACTGTAGTGTATGTTAGATTAGGTTGGCTGTTAACATGGTTGTCCTGACAGACTGACTCTATACCAGCTTATGTGAATTATTGACAAAAAACTTACTTTATTGTTCAAGTAAAAATTTTTATATGAACATAAACATGTTCTGCCAATAAAGGAATTCAACAAAGCACTGTCTTACTTTTTAAAAAATTTCATTATCTCAAAAACTATGTCTTTTAAATTATTCATTGTTCATTGCCAGTTGCAAGGCTTATGATTATCATAATTATTTCTCAGATGACTAATATTTATAATTTGAATTTTTCATAATTTTTTCTTTTGTACTGTGAAATATTTTAGCCCTTTAGAGTCTAGAAAGTAAAATATTACTTTAACAAATTCGTACAAATGATTCTAAAAAGCACTTGTGTACCAAAGTTTTCCTTATGCCTCCTTTAGTGTACTGCCTTATTCAGTTTGTCAATTATGATATCTTGGATTCTTTAGGAATAAAGAATTTATGAAACATGGATTATCAGTATTGATTTATTTAACCAATTTTAGTTTGTACCTGCTTGTTAATTCATCCCATGATTTAATCATACATTTTTCATTAAATAAGGGCCATAAACCGTATACAGTAGATCAATTAAATACTGTACTTGTAAAGCTAAACATTTATATATGGCAATGGAATTATTGAAATATTTGAACACTCATATCAGTATTTTGGAGTTATTGCCTAACTTAAAGTTATTGATCACTAGGGTATTCATACAACATTATAGCATTCTTATCAAAGAATGAGAAACCAGCGCTGAAGTTAATGAAATGAATCTGGTAGGGCCTCGGTGGCTCCCTCCTGCTGAGTCACATCAGCCATAGAAGTCTTGTGTGCCCTTCCAAGGAAAAGAGCCAGAACTTACCCACCCCTCATATAGGCACAAGAAGCAGGAGATTGTTATGATCACTCTTACTGAAAAAACATCCATAAAGTAAGCAAAGCAAAACAAGGTATAATAATAATAATAGTGCAAGGTTCATTGAAAATGAAGCAGAAACAGCCAAATGACCTTGCAAATGATTCACTTAAAAACTAGCTTGAACTCCATTAGTTATGAATGGCCACCAACAAGTGCATCGGTGCCATCTGGCCCCAGTCTGGCGCTGATAGACCCTGAACTAACACACCTGGTAAAGAATTGGGGAGCCATCAAGGCCCAACCCGAAAGAGGCATTCAATGTTGGTTTTCTGGAGGATCCCTTGGTGGCTTCCTGAAGCTAAATCACAACAGAAAATACAGAAACGTGGGACTTACCAGAGAGAGAAAAGTGGCAATGGTACTCGGAAAGTTGAGATACAGTACTGAGTCTGGAAACCCAACCTAGGGCAACATAAGCCAAGTGTGTCGGTATATTGACCAAATAATGAGCTGCTAGGTCTATGATAGACTGCCAAAATCCCTGAGAATACAGTAGCCAAAGCTGCAAACTTACAAACATTGTGGGCCTGAGGGTAGATTGTTGGCTGGTCAGACTGAATGACACTGTGGTCATCTTTGGATAAACGAGCTTCGGAGCATGGAACCAGATCAACAAACAGTAGACCCACTGAAATAGAGCAGAAGGTTAACACATAGTGACGAACCACTGATACCAGTTACAACAAATGATGTTCCCCTAGTCAAGCAGATTAAGTAAAACAACCAAAGCACCTCACCAGACGTCAACCATCTCATTCTCCTCCAAGAAAGGAGGAGAAAGCTGTAAACAAATAAACTGCCAATCAATGCCAGAGGAACAGAACTCACATTTGCAGAAGACAGCATGACGCTCCCATACCTAAAAAACACCTCACTCGATTTGAGTGAGGTGTTTTACGAAGAATCGTAAAACACCTTTATGATTCTTCGCGGCAGGAGATCGTATTCCAGGGACCTGCCCGAAATGCTACGCGTACTAGTGGCTGTACAAGAATGTAACAACTCTTGTATATATCTAAAAAAAAAAAAAAAAAAAAAAACAAAGGCAAGACTCAACAATGCCATAAAAATGTATCTTGGACCGAAGAGACAACAGTGAATTGAGGGAAGAAGAAAAAATGCCAACGCCCTGTTGAGACAATACAGCTCAGGAGGAGCTCGAGCCAGCTGGTGTTGAAAGAATGCATGCGACAACTCTTGAAATGGTGCCAAAGAGATATCAACGCCAACTAGAGCAACTCCGACAAAGTCGAGCAATAAGTGACAGTATTAGGCAGAAGATGCAAATCAACACAAAGACAAGACGAAAAAGACAAAACCACTGGAACACAGAAGAAACATGAGAAAAATGCAAAAATATTTCCTAGAAACTTCATTGTGTTACCATGATGAATGATGCAGGCAGGACACCAATAAATCAGCTTTTTTTTTTAATACAGTATACAAGAGTTCTTACATTTTTATACAGCCACTAGCACACATCATTTTACAACCAGGTACCCATTTTTCTGTTGGGTAAACAGAGGCTAAAGGTAAGGATTGCGCCCAGTAAATCCTCCCCGGCCAGGATACAAACCCTGACCAAAGCGTAATACCTCATGAGTGTGAGGTGTTACACCCAGTGACATGAGTGTGAAGAGTTACACCCAGTGACATGAGGTGTTACACCCAGTGACATGAGTGAGGTGTTACACCTAGTGACATGAGTGTGAGGTGTTACACCCAGTGACATGAGTGTGAGGTGTTACACCCAGTGACATGAGTGTGAGGTGTTACATCCAGTGACATGAGTGTGAGGTGTTACACCCAGTGACATGAGTGTGAGGTGTTACACCCAGTGACATGAGTGTGAGGTGTTACACCCAGTGACATGAGTGTGAGGTGTTATACCCAGTGACATGAGTGTGAGGTGTTACACCCAGTGACATGAGTGTGAGGTGTTACATCCAGTGACATGAGTGTGAAGAGTTATACCCAGTGACATGAGTGCGAGGTGTTACACCCAGTGACACGAATGTGAGGTGTTACATCCAGTGACATGAGTGTGAGGTGTTACATCTGACATGAGTGTGAGGTGTTACACCCAGTGACATGAGTGTGAGGTGTTACACCCAGGGACACAAATGTGAGGTGTTACACCCAGTGACACGAATGTGAGGTGTTACACCTAGTGACATGAGTGTGAGGTGTTACACCCAGTGACATGAGTGTGAGGTGTTACACCTAGTGACATGAGTGTGAAGAGTTATACCCAGTGACATGAGTGTGAGGTGTTACACCCAGTGACACGAATGTGAGGTGTTACATCCAGTGACATGTGTGTGAGGTGTTACATCTGACATGAGTGTGAGGTGTTACATCTGACATGAGTGTGAGGTGTTACACCCAGTGACATGAGTGTGAGGTGTTACATCCAGTGACACGAATGTGAGGTGTTACACCGTGACAGGAGTGTGAGGTGTTACACCCAGTGACATGAGTGTGAGGTGTTACACCCAGTGACACGAGAGTGAGGTGTTACACCCAGTGACATGAGTGTGAGGTGTTACACCGTGACAGGAGTGTGAGGTGTTACACCCAGTGACATGAGTGTGAGGTGTTACACCCAGTGACATGAGTGTGGTGTTACACCCAGTGACATGAGTGTGAGGTGTTACACGCAGTGACATGAGTGTGAGGTGTTACACCCAGTGACATGAGTGTGAGGTGTTACACCCAGTGACACGAGAGTGAGGTGTTACACCCAGTGACATGAGTGTGAAGGTAGCAACGCGTATTGATCATACATGAGGTCACGCCGCCGTATTGATTTTTCCTTCCTCCCTGCAATAGGTGTAGTAAATATAAGAATCACAATTGAAGAGAGAAACAATGATAAATTAATCAAGATTTAAGAAGATGCAGTATATCATAATAAATTATAATTATAAAAGGGCAGATTAATGAGGAAGTAAACATATAATTAGATGTAAACTTTATATTAAGGGTGGCTGAGGGGACATGTGTTGTTGTTGCGGCGGTGTTGAGAGGCGGCGTCTGGTCCACGCCTGGCTCCTCACATCTGTCTCGCTGTGTACACCTGTCTTCTCGTCACACGCCACACACACCTGTCTGGCTCCGTACCGTACACCTGAGAAGCAGTTCTCTACCTGTTGATCAGTGTTGGAAGGTGTGGGAGGCAGCATGGCGGAGGAGGAGAGCGCAGAGGGGGTCAACGTGCTGGTCAAGTTCATAACCAAGCAGGAGCAGTAAGTTTCATTTATTTATTTATTTATATACAAAAAGGCACATTGGGGGTTACGAGAGTACATAGTAATGATGATGATTTTACATTCTTGTAAAGCCACTAGCACGCATAGCGTTTCGGGCAAGTTGGACTGTAGCTCAACACTACTCATTATGGATGTCATTAGAATTACTGGTCATCACTTCATGTTGGTATATCTAAACTTCGGTAATACATGGCTACATGCATTACATAAATTACATTACACAAATTACATGGCTACAACTGATTTCTCTTCCTAACTTTTGTGACATGTAAATACAGTATTTGGTGGGCCCATATTTCAATGCCTCTAGTATATGTTAAGTTGCTATAAAATTAAAGAAAGAACTTGTGGCAGACAGATTCATGGAAACCAAATGATCACAGTTCCTTTAATAATAATAGTTCCCATTGTCTGGGACATCACTAGGGGTCCCAGAAGCAAACCCGGGATCACAGATGTCAGGCAAGTTTGAAGCCAAATGTAGTTTGTTCCCAATGTCGGAAGGCAGGATGCCTGTTTGTCTTATCGAGGTCTTTTTATGCCAACCTCCAGGATGCAACCCAGAACAATTCTCTAATTCCTGGGTACCTATTAACTGATAGGTAAACAGATGCATCAGGTGTAAGGAAATGTGTTTTCCTGTGTGGGACTTGAGTCCAAGACCATTGGGTTGTGAGTTTGCTGCTGATCACTATGTTACAGGACACCTTAAAAAGGCTATAAACATAAAGATTGAGAAAGTTTAATTTACATTCTCTAGAAAGGTGAAGAGTTAGGTGTCATTATTCACATGTACAAGTGGATAAAATAGTATGACAAAGGAGATGTTTATGAGGTGTTAAAAATATTATCACAAAATGGAACACGAAACAATGAACACAAATTGGGTAAAGTTGGATTTAAGATAGATCTTGGCAGTGGCATGTCGTAAAAAAATGCTGAGGTAAGCAAAAGACTCTTCAGATCTTTGAAGATGCAAAGTATGAATATTAATCAAATTTTTATTAATTCATTTAACATAAAATAAGAAATACTTATATAAAATATCTTATCGTACCATTTTAAAGAGTTTAGGGAATTCTTTTTGGCTTATGAACAAAGTAATACTTTTAGGAGAATTCTTTTAGACTTATGAACAAAATAATAAATATGTGCAACATCACATCACCTCTGAAAGTTGACTGAATTTCTGAAGTTGACATGGGCTGTGATACCATTGCTTCCAAAATAATATCTAATAAATTAGAATACATGTTTCGTTAGAAAAGGTTTGGCACATGTTTCTGTATGTCCTCGAGTGCCTTTAAAAGGAACCAATTACAGTACAGACAAGCCTTGATATGTACAGGGAATATCTATGATCCTGCAAACACTACACAAATAACTTTTCAAGGTACTGTATACAGCATAAGAAAAATTTTTAACATGTGTGGTCTAATGCCAGGGGTTACTTAGCATTACAGGCAGTCCTCATTTGCATTGAAATTGTGTTCCTGTAAACCCGAAACTACCCGAAACGCGCGTACTAGTGGCTTTACAAGAATGTAATTACTATTCTATGTATCCTCACAATCCCAATGTACCTTCTTGTATATACAGGTATATAAATAAATAAATAAATAAATAAATGAACAATTCAAATAGAAAACTTTTCAAATTGAGCTTAAAGATGTACAGTATAGTTCAAATATTACATAGGTTCCAAAGTAATTTTACTCGATGAAAAATGTTATGTTCATAGTACAGTAGTAAACTTGTATTATGTGACTGTTTCTCATAACATTTACTTGGGAAGAAATAGATTATTCCATGAATTTTATGTGGTTGGAATTTTAATGCATTGTTAAAAATTTATGCTCCCTTTATAATACAGTACAGTACTAATATATATCAATTTTGATTTATCTTGTAGCATTAGTTCTTAACTATTCCTGCACAACTTTTTTGTTTTTAGTTTTTTGCATTTTAATATGAAATCTCTTAAAGTGATATGTTCTGTGCAACAGTTCAATTTCCATATTATTGTGGTAAAGTGACAACTTTCATTCAGGTATGCTGTCCCTGGAGCATCGGTCTCGGTGATGGCCAATATTACTGTTGCCGGATTGAATAAAGTTATCAAAGCTTTTATCAAGCGTTGTAAGTATCAGTGGCTCACATCCACATCATGCTTCACTGTAGTAGAGATAAATTATTGTTATTGACATGCCTTTATGCAGTTGATGGGGTTATGCTGAGAGTGAGCAGTAACTGCAAAAACTTGTGCATGAGTTTGATATGTGCAAAAAAAGAAAATTTAATTGAATGGAATGCTGTTGTGAATTTTGTAGTGCCTACTGTGTGGGAATTGAGTAGCCCTTTCCTGTTTGGGTGCAGAAGCATTTGATGAGCTACCTTCTGCCATTGTTGTTTCAGAGTTTTTCTCTTCCTAACTGGCTCCTTCTCTGTACCTCCCTATCCTTGGGAGTCTGCCTTTCTGCCCCAGGCAGTGGGTGTGGACATCTGCTCTGCTCCGGAGACTTTGTGGTCAGTTTCTGGGGCCGGGGGGGGATAGAGGGAATCCAATAAGGGCAATTGGGTTCCTTTTGACCCTTCTTAGTCTTGTGTCCCCTATGATGAAGGGCTTATGCTTCAGAGGGATAGGTCTTTCTTGCCTCATTCCTTGTATGACATTGATTTTCAAGTGTACCCCCCCCCCCCCCTTCCCCCGAAGTTCATTTCTGTATACCATGCAGTCCATCGGATTTGTCTTTCCTTCTTTGCAGGTTCCCCAAAAGATCCTGCATCTTTTGAGTTTGGGTTCATTGCTACATTATGAGGTCCCAGATTCTTCCTGACTGGCTACAACACTATATTCCTTGGGTCTTGGCAGGGTTTCTGCCGTACCTGCATGCTGTAGTGGCGGGATGGTTCAAACATCTTTTTTTTTTTTTTTTAGAGAGAGAGAGAGAGAGATACAAGTTGTTACATTCTTGTACAGCCACTGGTATGCGTAGCGTTTCGGGCAAGTCCCTGGAATACGACCTCCACCGCGAAGAATCGTTTTTACAACCAAGTACCCATTTTACTGTTGAGTTAAACAGAGGCTACAGTTAAGGATTTGCGCCCAGTAAATCCTCCCCGGCCAGGATACGAACCCATGACAAAGCACTCGTGGAACGCCAGGCGAATGTCTTGCCATTACACCACAGAGACTGGTAAATGTGTTCTTGGAAGATCCCCATTCTTGCTGCTCAATGACTGCCTGCTTGATCCTGCTCTTTCCAGGGATGTGGATATGTGACAACTGCAAGCACGGCTTTCTTTGCTTTCTGGAGCCCTTATGTAGGATGAATTCCGGTCTCATTTGCATTTGAAACTACACAATGGCAACCATTGTGTAGTTTCTGGCCCTTGAGGAACTTTTCTTTGATTGGCTCCGTGAGTAGTACATGGATTTCCTTAGTTGAATGTTGGATGAGGAGGCCTTGTTGCATGCAGCTTCGGTAGTCTTACCAAAGTTGTATGCACCCATCCTTCTGGAGGAGGTGACGGTGTTCTACTCGATCTATCTTGAGTGTCAGTAGGCTGTGCTGGCCTAGTCTTTAGATTCATCCTGGTCCTTAATCCTTTTGTCCACCTTTTTGTTTCTCCTCTCTCCTGAGGACGCTGTTTGTCAGTATGGTGGCTGTTTCCTGTCATCTGGTTTCTCAGTTGTTGTACACTCGGGGTTCTGTCCTTCATTCTTGGATGTGGCTTAGCTGGGGTGGGGCTTCGCCTAGTGTTGGTTGAGGTAGGTCCATGGTAGAGCCAGGTTCCAAGGCCTCTTCCACATCTCTCCGTTGTTTTCTTCCATTCATCAGCACTGTTTTCACGTGTCGTGGGAAAATGCTGTCACTTGTGGTTCATGCCAGCCCTTTTGTGGTTTGCCCTTTTGAAAGGAAGGTAGCTGGGGGCACCTGGGTCAGTTTATTGATTCCTGGTCCCATTATTTGTAGGCTTACAGAGGATGAACAGGTTCATTCCGTGTCTGACTTTCTGCACGACCACCCTGGCACAGTTGTGCCATGTGTTATAGGCCAGGTCTACGATGATTTCTCTAGACCTCAAGTGTGCTTGTTGGTACATCCCTATACATCAGAGGTTCAGAGATTGGTTAGGTTTTGTCTTGGGGCAGCAACCTAACCGCTTTCATTTTGCTCTTCGACTTGAATCTGGCATACCTTGTTTTCACAAGGTTATTGTAGCCTCGCTACATCATCTAGGAGGTTTGAGCCTTGACCAACCATGATGACTGGCTGGTTTGGGTCCCCAGCCAGTCCACATGTCAGCTAGCCAGAGTTCTGGTTATTTTCCCAGCTTGCAGGTTCAGGTTCCTGGTGAAATGGCAGATGTCCAAGTTGACTCCATCCCAGGTTCACTAGACTTGGTTGGGCCTTGTTTGGGATTTTCGATCAACTTTGCTTCCCAGCTCCTAGCAGCCATGCTCAATCTGCAGCTGCACCACTGTCTAATGTTGGATTGGCCCTGGGTTACCCAGCGGTTGTTCTTGCTGTGCAAGTGCCTAAACTATGCCTGTGTGATCTTCCCACTAGGCAATGTGTGGCTCCAGGCATTGTTTTGGTTTCTTTCAGTTATGCCTGTTTCCCACTGCCACAACTGTCAGGTTCAAGCACTTTTTGCCCTTTGCCAGGCATTGCTTCGCTGGCTTCCCCTTCAAGGTTCAGTTCCATGGTGTCATCCCCCGCCATCGTTCAACATGTTTACGGACACGTCGACTCTCGGCTGGGGTTTTGTGACCTGCACTAACCAGGCTGTCAAATGTAATTGGTCAGGTTCGTTCGGTCGGGCACACAGTACAGTACATGAGTTTGAGGCTGTGTGGCATGCCCTAAGGAGGATGCGAATTTCTCTAGGCTCCATGCTCTGGCTTCATTTGGACTGCTTCCCAGTGGTTCATTGATTGAACAGGCGAGTTAACTTTGGTCCTCGAACTTCGGGGGTTCGGGGCTCATGGGTCTTCTTCTTCTTCTTTCCCTGCACTCCGTCGAGTCATCTTGGAGTGGGTGTACTGGGTGTGGTCGAAACGACCTCGTCCCTCAGGTGGGTTTCCTACCTGTTTCCAGTGCCGAAACCAGACTGCGGATCTGGGGTTCATTCTGGACTTGTCAGACTGTATGGATCTGCAGTTCATTCTGGACTTGTCCCGTCTGACCCTGTGGATTTCTTGCCTCTCCTTTTGGATGGCCACTTTGGATGGCTTCTTTTGGAGCCAGGTGCCTGGATAGTGTCCCTGGATCTCCTGGATGCCTATTGACACATTCCTATTCATCCAGGGTTCAGAGACTGGTTAGGTTTCATGGTGGGGTATCAGGCTTATTGCTTTCATTGTCTTCCTTTTGACTTGAATCTGGCACCTCGCATATTCATGCATCTTACCTGGGTCATGGTGACCAGTCTGCATCTGCTAGGGGTTTGCGTTCTGGCCTACCTCGACGACTGGTTGGTGTTGGTCCCCAGCCGGTCTGCTTGTCTGCTCGCAAGGGGTGTGGTTCTTTCCCAGCTTGCCTAGTTAGTTCCTGGTGAACTGGAGAAGTCCCATCTGGTTCCGTTCCAGGTTCAGACCTGGCTGGGTCTTGTGTGGGACTCTCAGACCATTTCCTTCCACTTCCTTAGCTGTTTTTTTTTGGGGGGGGGGGGGGGGGTTCTCTGTGGTTGCTCGAGCAGTTGTGTGGGAGTCTGAACTTCGCCGTGCTGGTTTACCTACTGCTCTGTCACGATTGCTGGGTTTGGCCTCCGGGGGCCTTGCATCGGTTGCTGCGTTGATGGCTTCCTCTTCATTTTTTTCAGGGTTCAGTGCCTTGCGCCTACCCAAACCCTCGCTCAGTGTGTTCATGGATGCCTCATCTCTTGTATGGGGCTTTATGACCAGTCCTTACTAGGTCGGCCAGGGACGGTGGGGTCTGACCCTCAGTCGGGCTCACAGCACGGTGCGAGAGTTTGCAGAGGTTTGGTCGTCGCTTTGAAGGGTTCAGGTCGCTAAGGGGTTATCTTGAAGTTTTCTTGATGATTTCGGGGCTTAGTGTCCCCGCAGCCCAGTCCTCGACCAGGCCTCCTTTTTGTTACACACCCCCTAGGAAGCAACCCTATGAATCCAAAGCGCTGTCCACCCAGCTATCAGAGGTCAATGATGTGGCTCCATTTGGACTGTTCTCTGGTGGTTCATTGCCTGAACTGTGGGGGTTCTCTTCGGTCCTTACCCCTTTGGGGGCTGGTCGCTTCGAGTGACTCGTCGGCTGGATTCTCTAGGGTTGGCTCTCCAGGCAGTTCATGTACGGGGGGAGTGTTCAACGTCCTGGCAGATGGCCTGTCCCGGTTCATTCCCTTGTCCATGGAATGACCGGTCGACACCGACTCCTTCAGTTGGTTCTGCCGAACGTACTGGCGCTTGGAGGTGGACCTCTTCATGTCGGCATGGTCTCGGCGTCTTCCGATATATGTGGTGCTGTTCCCCGACTGCGAGGCCATCGCAGTAGATGCCTTTTGGCAGGACTGGTCGAGGTGGGGTTACCCGTACCTCTTCCGCCCGGTCCAGCTATTGCTTCGGGTCTTGGCTTGTATGGAGACTTGCCAGGGGAGAGTAGTCCTGTTGGGCCCTTGGTAGCCAGCCCAGCCTTGGTTTCAGGTGCTGCTTGCTCAGTGTCTGAACCCGCAATCTTTTCTGCGGCTTCGTCTCTTTCAGCAGATCGGTCTGGTCAGGTACCTGGCTGGTTCAGTCTTCTCTTCCACTCTTCGTGTCTCGTGTTTTTGACATGGGTCTTTCACCATTTGTATGGTGATCAGGTGGCTTCATTGATGGTGTCCCACCTGCAAGCTTCGTCTCGGCAACAGTATGAAGTTTCCTGGCGTTCTTTCTGCCATTTACTCTCTCTTTGTAGGTTGTATTTTGTTTCAGATCCAGTTGTCTTTTTCTTTCTTGGCTCTTTCAGGACTGTCATTTGATGTCAAGTACTGTCACTTCGTATTGTGCGGTGCTGGCGGAGCCGCTCCTGCTTGCGTTCGGGGTGGATGTCACTTTGGCCCCATTTTACTCGTGCTTTTTCACCTCTGGCTTCCTCATGAGCCACCTGAGCCTTCCTGGTCCTTGGACAGGGTGCTCTCTTTTGTCTTCTCCTCAGTTCATGGTGGCCCCTTCTGTTCAAGATTGTTTTTCAAGGCTGTCTATCTGTTGGCATTGGCCTCTGGGGGTCGGATCGGTGAGCTTCATGCTCTCCTCTGGCACAGGGGTTTCTGCTCTTTTGATCCTGGTGGTAGGTTTGTTCGGTTGCAGCCTTCTCCTCCTTTTCTGACGAAGAACGAGACGGCCGCTTTCCGGAGGGGTCCTTGGGTCATTGATGCTTGGTAGGTCAGGCCAGGGGCGCATCATGTGTTGTGTCCGGTTGCGGTTCTTCACCGTTACTTGCACGCCTCGGCTTCTGTGGCCGGGGATGCGCTTTGGGTTGATCCGGTTTCCCTCTTTCCCCGTTCCAGGGCTCAGGTCTCCCAGGTAGTCCGCAGGGTCATTAAGTCTAGCCAACCTGTGGTCTATCCTCGTGCCCACAGCATTCGTAAGTTTGCTGCTTTGACTGCTTTCTTCGGCAATATGTCTTGGGCTGACATTCGGATGTGGGGATTTTTGAGGTCGAATAGGGTCCTGGCCATGTGTTATTTTGTCAACGTTCCTGGTCCTAGTCGCCCATGAGTGACTTTGAGTCGGCGGTTGCAGCCAGTTGTCTCGACTTCAAGTTGAGGAGCAAGTGGTGTCTGCATCCAGGGTTAAGTCCCTAATTTCTTCTGTTTGGTGATGTAACTCCAGGGAGCGGTAGGAGCTCCCCACAGAAAACCAGCATTGAATGTAATGAAACTGCATTTTCTGGGTGAGCCCTGGAGGCTCCCTGGCAACCTTCCCTCCCATTCATCAGTTCCATTTCTTTTTTGATGCTCAGCCTCCGAACTAGATGGCTTGGGTAGAAACTTTCACTTTCTTACAAGTGAGGTTTGTCTTGTTATGCCTACCTTTCTGGTTGGCAACCCAGGTCGACAGCAGATATGGAATGCCTCCAACCATAGTGGGTTTCTATAGGACATTGCTCCCTTTGCCTCTCTGAGGGGGCCAGGTTCTGGCTCGTGGTCCCCGATGGGCTGAAATCCAATTGACTGATGCCCTAGACTAATATAACATATATCAGCCTGATAGCTTTAGGAAGCCCCCAGGGCTCAAGCAGAAAATACCATTTCATTACATTCAACGTTGGTTTTTTTATGTTTCACTTTGTAAGTATTAAATATTGTTTCGGATCTTACACAATATGCATTTAGTTAGTTTTGCTACATTAAATGATGCTTCTATTTTATCCTGCTTACAAAGACTGTTTAAGTTAGCTCCATTATATAACTAGCAACTGTTGTTAATCACAGGTTCAAGTGACCAGAAAGATCTTCCCCAGTTTGAGTTCATTGTGAATGGACAGCTTTTAGTTGGGGTCCTCAAGGAAAGGTTGGAAGAGTGTGGAGTGAGCCTTGAGTCTGTGGTTGAAATTGAATACCTAGAGAAACAGCCTCCACCTACTCCAAAGGATTCTTTGCATCATGATGATTGGGTGGCAGCTCTACAGTGCAGCAACCAGTGGTAAATATAAAGAATCATTCATACTTGTATGTACGTATGTATGTATAAATAAAATATATATACATACATATCTGTACTGTATATATGTTGTTGAATATGACCGAAAGGGTAAGATTAATGATTCTAACACGAATCTTCTCAATATTTCTTATGTTTTTCTTTACTACTAAGGGAAATTGAAAAATTAACTCTCCAAAAGTTCATTTTCACACTTTGTGTTATGGTCTGATGCCTAGGAATGCATTTTTGCAAGCTCACTCCTTACATTCTCAAAGACTAATTTACCATGCTTTTGCAAAGGCTAATATTATCTTTGGGTGAGGTGGTACAAAACAAGTGGATGAATGGCATAACATAAGGGATATGAATAGGGTATTAAATACATCAACATAAGCAGCTTGTGTTGTTGACAGGGACTGCTCGCCTCAAGTCTTAGGAGCCTCGAACACCCAGCCTTTGGCATGGTTGAGGTATAGCCAAGTTGACAGCATTTGTCAACTATGCTACTGGGCTAGCCTTACAAGGAAAAGATCCCAAGGCAGCTAACTACTACCCAGTTGAACTTGGCATCACTGTGGCTGCTACGTGAGCACAGGAGAATTAGGTAATCTACGCCCTGAGCGTCTGTCTCCCATGATGGAGGTTGGGTGTTCGAGGTTTCTAGTGTCCAAGGTGAATGAAATGTTACATCCATGGTAGTGTTGTAAACAGTTTATATGACTCAGTTTATACAAATTGTGACAACATCGTGAGATTTCTTCTCCACCATAGCCAAAGTAAACTACATCAAATTCATTTATTTTCCTGTAATCGGGTAACACATTGCAACAGTATTAAAATTATAATTTTTCAGAATATATATTTTCCTGTTCACCAACTGGTTGTCATGTAAAATAAAGTGCTCAATGCAGGGGTTAAGAGAGAATTCTATAAACATTAAGGCCCTAAGAATTTTCAACACCAGCCATCTAAATATAAGTGGCATTACTGAGCCTCTTAGAGAGTGGATTATTGAAAATGAGAAAATGAATGGATTAGTATGTGGTGTGATACAACTGATGTATCCTTCTTCACAAAAGTTGTGAATATGACTGTGGACAGTAGAAGGAAGCAGCATAATCTTGCAGATGTCTTGATGAATAAAACTTTTTCATTTTCCAGGCTTTTTAATTATTTGTGTTTATTGGTAAGCATTTAATCTTGATGGCTGGAAGTATTACAGGTTGTTGACAGGTTGCTATGACAACACACTGCACCTGTGGGATGTTGCTGGCCTAGCTGCAGGTCAGGGGGATCGTGCCCACACACTCACCATACCTGCACACAGGGCACCTGTCAAGGCCGTTACCTGGGTCCACACAGACTCCCCTACCAAAACATTTATTAGGTATATATTTCTTGTTTACTGTACTTAATTTGCTATATTATAATACATTCACATAATAAGGAAAAGGATGTAATAGCAGTAATGGTGAAATAGGTATTTCCAGTTGGAATATATTATGGTTTTTACAACTTTTTAAGCAATTTCCATTTGCCATATAGTTAGGACTAAATTTTACTGTGAAGCTCTGAGCAACTCTAGGTCGAGGTAGATAAATATCCCAGCTATTTGTTGTATCCCAGTTATAAACAGGGAAAGGGGCTCAGTCAAGAACATACCTCAATTCACCAACTCAAGGGGGAAATCTTGGAGGATTGAAAATTGTCAAGGGATTTGGCTTACTGTGATCAGCCTGTTTTATACACAGTATTAAACAATAATATTAGCAAATTTGCATATGACTATAATAGGATGGAAATTAATTCTAAAGAATATTTAAAATCGCTGCAAGAAGATTTGGGCTATTAAAAAGGACACAAAGTTCAGCCAATATTGATTAATGTTGACAACTATGCTTAAAGCTTAAAACTGTGTGGTTTTAAGCTTAAGAAATGGTAATGATACCATCTATCAACCGGACAATGTTGAAGCTGCTAAATCTCATTAAAAAAATGATGAGAGGCATAAATTGTAGGGTATCTTTAGTCAAAAAATCAATGTACTGTATAAATGTTCAAAATAAAGTTTCATAACAAGATACATAGAGTAACATGACAGCTAATGATATTAGTTATCTTCATCTTGCCTTTGTTTGGCCCCGTTTTAGCATGCAGTACAGTTTTGAGCATTACCCGCAAGGAAGTACTCACCTAGTTGTGCTTGCGGGGGTTGAGCTTTGTCTCTGGTCCTGCCTCAGTGTAGTGTACACTACACATGAGTGTAGTGAAGGAGTGTACAAGTATACAGCGAAGGATGACACAATTAATCCCTGACATTAGCAACCTCAAATAAGAGGAGAATTAAACAAAAAATTTATTTTAATTTTCCATGAAGATAAATCACAAGGGGGGGGGGGGATCATAATGGAAAGTACAGTATACACAAAATTTAAGGTGTACAATAAGTTGAATATTAATAACGTACTAAATATATTAAGACATCTGAATCCATTTTTCACTTTCTAATTCGTGAAACTTAAATTTAAGAATACCTGAGTAAGTGTTAATTAGGAATTAGGTTTGTTGATACTGTATATGATTTATGTTGTTAGGTAACATTTTTTAATTACAATATTTCATGTCTATTTAAACAAGTGTATCAGTGGTTCCAGTTAGATATATTGTAAAAAAAAGATCTTCTTTACATGGGCCAATAAGCCTTCTGCAGTTTCATATTTCTTATGTTTTTATGCAGCAGTTGTCTCCCTGTTGTCCAGCACTAAGATTAATATGTTGTTATCCTTTGTTAGCTCCATAAGAAAGCAGTCATTGGCCAGTTCCATAAATTCTTTGACCTTGCCTTTCTATGTCAGATTGTTCCACTTTTTATTCTGATAGAAAGTCACCTAAAATGCACATGTCATTACAGCTAGATTACCTAGATATTTCTGCCTTTCACTCTCTTGAGGTTTGGTGGCATATACATAATAACTCCAGATATTATGCTATCATTATCTGCATTTAGTATATTTCATATTGTTTCTGTATAAGGCTCTGTTTGATATTATATTTAAAATTTTCTTTTAACAAACATTGCTACACCCCTCTTCATCTGATGTGTGTATTGGTATGAAACAATTTATGGGTACAGTATCCCTTAATTTGGTATTCTGCTAATTGTCAGTTTTCTACATTCATCCATGTTTCTATGATGGTATTTATATATATATTCTTTCATCTTACTCGTGTATTTTATTTCTAATGCTCTTACTATTTGTGTAATATTCCTTTAAGTGGCATCTTTATGCTTGTGTCCCTCTTTCCTTTCACTGTCATCTTTAAGAAAATGTCTTTAACAATTTTCTGAAGTTTTCTTATTCATGCCATAAAATTTGTCATCTGCTCTCCCAGCCCATTATCCTCTTGTATTTAAAACTGGTACAAATAGCTCTTTCAGCTGCTCTTGTTTAAGCTTCCACCCCCTCCTTAGATGTAGCCCATTCCTTGCATATGTATAATTTTTATCAAAGAATCTGTCACAGTTATCTTACAGTAAAAGATTTTTCCTGGCCCTAATGTGTGCCTTAATTTTGTCATATAATTAGCAAGCAATGCTTCACTCCTATATTTTCCACCATAATTGGACCCATGCATGGAGGCAGAAAAGGTTGGGTTCTATTACCTCTCAAAGTGTCATACTGCATAGTGCATGCACCACAGAGGATGTTATTACTTTCAATTCATGTTGGGTGGCCCATGTTGAAATATTCACCAAATATTTTGGGTTCATCGAGTATTCACCCATCCACTTCTGCAACACCATGTGCAAGTTTTTTCAGAGCCAATGACCTTGCCTTGAAGGTGCCATGGGACTTGCCCTACCACACCATCTTGATATGTTGTTCATCCTGTTGACTTCATCACCCATCCCAACTTCAGTGAACCACAGCCTTATTTTCCCTATGCCTAAGCTGAGTGTCATCTACAATTATGATTTTTTTACCTTTTTAGTGTTTTAACACTTCTGCGCTCTGGGCGAGCGAGCACCTCACTACCCCAGGTGGGTTTCGGCGTTTCACGGGAGCGCGCGATAATTCTGAAAAGTGTATACTCTTTTTAACTTTGTTACCTTAATTCTCGTCCTAAGATATTAAATTTGGTATCAATGTGTTCGCAATATGCTTCAAACCATATTGGGGGTTTCTATAGGCCATTGCTCCTCGTGCCTCTCTGAGGGAGCCAGGTTCTGGCTCGTGGTCCATGGTAAGCCTAAAGAACTCCATACACATGACTGATGCCAAAGTCTGACATTAGCAATATCAGCCTGGATAGCTCTGGGGAGCCTCCGGGTCTCGCCCAGAAAGTGGCGTTTCATTACATTCAATGCTGGTTTTTTCATTGCAACACAAGTTCCCACCGCAGCTCACCTTTAAATTGCAACTTGTCAACAACAGTCAATGCTTGACACTGAAAAAAGGGGAGGAGGGAAGGGGGAAAATGGGTCAATTTCCCCGTCTCTTTTAAGAAAACAAATGAAACTACAGTACAAAAAAAGGAGATGTAGATATTGTGTATTACTAAGAGTACTGTATTTCAAAAGATTCTTTTAATTGTGAGATTTGCCTGATGTGCCAGGGTTGTCCTTCATCAGTTGTGAAGAAAATACACTTATCCAAGATTATTAGAATTGTTGTTATCCTACAGTACATCAATAGACCAGACGGCAGTAATATGGGTGTGGCAGAGCGAAACTAACACTGTAGAGTGTGTGAGTGAGTGCCGTGGACACACTCAGAGTGTTGAGTGCGTTGCAGTCGACCACAGCAAAAAGTTTTTTGCGACTGGCTCTTGGGACAACATGTTGAAGATTTGGTCTACAGGTAAGTTTGCATCCAAGGCTAAAGTTTAGTTACTCAGCCACCAGTATTTATCATTATGGTAAAATTAAAATGTAGTTTTTGTGTTTTATTACTGCAGTCATGCATTCTTGTTTAACACTTGCTTTCTGAGGGGAAGGTGTCCAGTTTTTGCAGCCTAATTGATCCAACCATTTATGGAAATGTTGTTTGCTTAAGAAGCTGTTTGTAGGCTTAGAACATTGATTTTGCTATAAATAAATTGGAAATTTGAAAATTTACCTTAAAAAAATAAATAAATATATTACAATATAGATATATACATACACAAAGTTTATAGTATATAAACTGGCACCAAGTTTACAAATGTTTATTACCATTTCAGTATCACATATATTTACAGTATTTATGATTATAAACATTTTTTGTGCTGGCCTTTCTTTGTTTCTTTGTAGCTCTCCAAGGCTTTCTCACAAACCTTCCAACACACAACATAATGATAAAGAGTTGCACATCAAAAGTCAGCTAGTCTTGAAAGACAAATCCAAAGAAAATTTATTATGCAATCAAATTCATGTACAATATTCCAATTCATTACCAAAATTATACATACTGTAACTTTTGTGAAGTATATAATGGAGACAAAATCTTATCTCATACAGCAACAACCTACTAATGTGCTGTTATGATGATTTCTGGGGGCAGCATCCTGGTGTCTTCTTGAAAATATCTTACTGAGATTGCTTCATGCTAAAGGTAACATCAGTTACAGGAGTTCTGTTTGGTATTCAGACACCACTGCCCAGGGGCCAGAACCAGACACTCCCATGGTTCACCACAGCATATTGATCATCATTTTGGTGCAGAGAGTGAGTGACAATTTGCCACCCCACTGGAAAAGCATCCAAAATGTCAGTAAGGCTTTACGCCAACTTGAGTCACAAAAAAATGAAGCCTCAAAACTGCCAAACAACTCTACAAATGATGCACATGGAACAACAAATTCATTCAAACTAGCTTGAAACTCATTCATACCAATCGCCACCAACAGGCGGGCCAGCCCTTACCCCTCAGCCGGCTGGCTCCCTTGGTCAGTTCTATTGCTGATATTCTGGTGGCGACTGCTATGTGTAGTGCTCTAGTCCGCCAGTAAGTCTCTATGCTTCTGGATAAGTGCCAGCCATCCTTGAGCTTCAGTCGTCCTGCAAGGGCCATTTGCTTGGTGTGTGTGTGTATGTGTATGCATTAGCTTCACATGCATGTTTTCTTTCCAGCTTCTTGTGCGAATTTGCCTTTTATTGTGCTTCATGCTGCATACACTCAGGGTTTCCTTCCCTGGGTACCTGCTAGCACTGCTTTTGCCCGTGGTTGTGTTGGGGCACTCCATGGTTTGTGTGCTTATTTATATGACACACCATGGTTACCACTCGTAGCCTGGTTGTTTTGCCTGCATTTTGTGTCTTTTTATGGCAAGCAGCCCAAGTGCCTGGATGTCCTGCTTGGTTCCAGCCTTCAGGCCCTAGTAATCCTCTTGCAGGGCACTTGACATGGTCTCTTATGGAGTGAACTATAAAACCTGCGCTCACTGAGTATGAACTTGAAGGGTGCTCATCATCTTTGCTACCTGATAATGATCATTCCTTCTGCCTGCCTTGCTACCTGCCGAGTCAGGGACACCTACAGCCGAGTCCTGTGAAGTTTGTTCTCACCGAGTCTCTGCACTTACTCACTTGCCTTTGGATTTGGAAGCTTTTCAGGCAGCTGCTGCTCTATGAGCTAAGCATTCACAGCTTATTGATCATCTGGATGCCCCAGAGTTGGCCTCTATAGTGTTTATGGACCCAGAATTGGAGATGTTGGCAATCTCCACCTGGACTTAATCCACGTCTCCTCTTCCTTTCACTGCAAGTGGGATTCTCCCGGCTTCTGGTCTACTTCCCCACCCTTAAGATCTCTTGGCACATTTACATTGCTGGAAACGAACCCTAGGAGAGTCTGTGGATGCCCTTCAACCCTACTTAGATCATGGTTCCCTCCCTTTACTCTGGTATGTCATGCAGAACCTGGACCCCTCTTGTATGATGCCCAACCTCTTCTGGGTTCAGATCCTTCTCTGCTTATTGGCTGCAATGTGAGGTCTCGGGTTCATTTTGGCTGGCTACCAATCCTCACTTTTCCTTGGGGGCTTGGCAGGGGTTCTGTTGGACCTGCATGCTTGATTGACAGGAGGCAGGTTCCATCTTCCCAGTGTTCCTGGGTGGAACTTCATGTGCTTCGCTCGTGAACTGCCTGTTTGCACCAATGCTTCCAAAGGATGTGGCAAGTGCCAGCTCCATTTGTAGCTGCCTGCACTCTCTGGGACCCCTTTTGCAGAGGCCCACAGGGCTCGTTTGCACATGAGCAACTCTGTGATGACATGGCATCTGCTTCGGAAGGCAGTGGCAGTATTTTATTCAGCCCACCTCGCATGTGGACAGGCTGTGTTGGCTCATTTCCTACATTTAGCTTGATCTCCTAACCTTTTGTACATTCCCTCCCTCCCTTTTTTTTCCTCCTCTTTCCTGAGGATGTTGTTGCATAGGCTTTGTCTCTGGTGACTTTTTCTAGCAGTCCTGTCAATCATTTATGGTTCTCTCAGGGGTTCTGCCCCCTCTCAGAGACTTTCAGGTAAGGTAGGGATTTCTTGTTGTTATTCAGGGTAGGTCCTCATCAAGTAAGTCTGATTCTCGGGCCATTGCTCTTTCTTGTGAGAATTCTTCCTCAGCTCTATGTCACAACTGCACATTGAGAAAGGAGGGTTTTCTTGGAGTTCTTGCTGGTTCTTTTGTAGTTTGCCCCTTTGATGCCAGAGTGGCTTGTTTTACTAGCTCCTAGTCCCACGATTCATTGTCTTTTTGAGACAGAATGAGATGCCTTCCCCAACACTGCATCAAGGTAATGTGGTATGGTTAGACATGGCACGATCAAGGTAGCCATGTTCCTTTGGTGGGTGTTCAGGTTGTTCCCAGTTTGGGAGCGGGACTTGGTGGACCCATGCTCTTTCAAGGTTGAACTGACCTGCATGAACACTTTGGCCCAAGTTTGGCTGCCATTATGGGCTGGAGCTTGGATGGTCTCCCTGAACCTCAAGGAGACTTATTGGCACATCCCTACACATTCTGGGTTCAGGGACTGGCTAAAAAGCGGGAACAAGCGCCCTCTTCCCTTGATATGTACGTATCGGGGAGGGGAGGGTGGCTGGCTGACGTACCCTGCGGGCCCTGAAAAATCCCTGTGGGCTTGGTTGGTAACATGGTTCCATCCGCGTCCACTCTCACCTTGTGCGATGTTGATGGTTGTTCGTCACCCCTGCCTCAGGGAGATGATCACTCCTGCCTCCACAATGCTGCCTGTTGGGTCGGTGACAACCCAGAGTCTTCAGGAATTTGTTCCCCGCTTGTGCTTCTGTTAACTGATTCCTCTTCTGCGAATGAAAGGATTCAGGTGGCAGCAGTGTTGCAAGCTTGCTTCTCTGTCTTGCAACATGCCTGGTTGGAGGCCCCAGAGCTACCCCGTTTGGGTTTTAGGGACCAGGAGTGTTGGTCTCTTCAACATTGGTTCCGCCCACACCCCTCACTTCCTTCCCAGGTGGGCATGATTTGCCTTGCTCCTCCCTCCCTGCTTCCGGCTTCTAAATGTCTGAGGGTTTCGGAGTCGGGGCAGGGTTTAGATTGTGATGAGGGTCGGGTGGCTTCGGAAGCTGCCCCCTAACAAGACAAGCATGGCGGTAGTTGAGACCTTCACGCCAAGACTTCCGGTTCATCCCAGATGCCTTCCTTCTCGGAAGCCTTTCCCTTGGACTCTGCCTTTTCTTCTGGGGCGGTGGGCATGGAAGAGGGCTCTGCCCTGGAGGTTTCCTTCTTCTAGGATTTTCCTTGGGGAGGTTCGGGAGGCCCTTGGTGCAAACCACCAGCAAGGCCTGGTTTATGCCTTGGTGATGGATCCGGCTTCTTTTGAGTTTGGTTCTAAGCCGCATTGGATGCGTTGTGAGGTTCCGGAGTCTTCCTGGCTGGCACACTGCCCTTTTTTCTTCCTTGTGGCTTGGCACGGCTTTTGTCGTACTTGACAAAAATCGGTGCCTTCCTCTTCCTTCCACTAATATTACATATATCAGTTTGGATAGCCTCCAGGGCTAGGCCCAGAAAATTGCATTTCATTATATTCAATGCTTTTTTTTGGGGGAGGGGTGGAGGGGAATTAACTTCGCCCTGAAACTTTTTTTTTTTATCCAAAGGATTGGTATCTTGTATAAGTGACTATAATTTTGGTATGAACTTACAATTGTGTAATATATCTGAAAAAATCTTTTGGAGCCAAGTGATGGAACCGGATTCACATTGTGTTGCTTTTGAGCTCATCACCGTCTAGAGGGTAATGGGTGTATCCAAGATGACCCAAGATGCAAGTTCAATTCCATCATATTGCTTTAAATGATTTTCACACTCAAGATCCTGTTTATACTTATGTACCAATACCAGTGTACTATTACTGCCCCTAGACCTTAATGTACTGTTGCTGCCCCTAGGCCTTAATATACTGTTGCTGCACCTAGGCCTTAATGTACTGTTGCTGCACCTAGACCTTAATGTACTGTTGCTGCACCTAGACCTTAATGTACTGTTGCTGCACCTAGACCTTAATGTACTGTTGCTGCACCTAGGCCTTAATGTACTGTTGCTGCACCTAGACCTTAATGTACTGTTGCTGCACCTAGGCCTTAATGTACTGTTGCTGCACCTAGACCTTAATGTACTGTTGCTGCCCCTAGACCTTAATGTACTGTTGCTGCCCCTAGACCTTAATGTACTGTTGCTGCACCTAGACCTTAATGTACTGTTGCTGCCCCTAGGCCTTAATGTACTGTTGCTGCCCCTAGACCTTAATGTACTGTTGCTGCCCCTAGGCCTTAATGTACTGTTGCTGCACCTAGGCCTTAATGTACTGTTGCTGCACCTAGGCCTTAATGTACTGTTGCTGCACTTAGACCTTAATGTACTGTTGCTGCCCCTAGACCTTAATGTACTGTTGCTGCACCTAGACCTTAATGTACTGTTGCTGCCCCCTAGGCCTTAATGTACTGTTGCTGCACCTAGGCCTTAATGTACTGTTGCTGCACCTAGACCTTAATGTACTGTTGCTGCCCCTAGACCTTAATGTACTGTTGCTGCCCCTAGACCTTAATGTACTGTTGCTGCACCTAGACCTTAATGTACTGTTGCTGCCCCTAGGCCTTAATGTACTGTTGCTGCCCCTAGACCTTAATGTACTGTTGCTGCCCCTAGGCCTTAATGTACTGTTGCTGCACCTAGGCCTTAATGTACTGTTGCTGCACCTAGGCCTTAATGTACTGTTGCTGCACTTAGACCTTAATGTACTGTTGCTGCCCCTAGACCTTAATGTACTGTTGCTGCACCTAGACCTTAATGTACTGTTGCTGCCCCCTAGGCCTTAATGTACTGTTGCTGCACCTAGGCCTTAATGTACTGTTGCTGCACCTAGACCTTAATGTACTGTTGCTGCCCCCTAGGCCTTAATGTACTGTTGCTGCACCTAGACCTTAATGTACTGTTGCTGCACCTAGGCCTTAATGTACTGTTGCTGCACCTAGACCTTAATGTACTGTTGCTGCCCCTAGGCCTTAATGTACTGTTGCTGCACCTAGACCTTAATGTACTGTTGCTCACCTAGACTTCTTATTATGTAGTATTGTCATATTCTAATCCAGCACATTTCATGAAAGTGTAATCGCTGCCATTTAAATTATATGTTAAACTTTGTATTATTAAGTCTCTCTTAATGTTGCTGTTGTGAGCAGAAGATAATTTTATATTATTGACAGGTGACAAAGGTGTTGAGGAGGAGGATGCCGAAGAGGAACAGGACTCAAAGAAAAGACGAGCAGCTAAGAAGCCTCAGAAGAAAGTGAGTCTGTATTCTTTCACTGCATTTTGAGGCAAATGTCATTCACTGCATTGTGCAACTTTTGCCAGATGCATAGAAAATTAAGCCCTGAAATAATGTAAAGAAATTGCTCTTTTCTGAGATATGAACAGTAGCACCCTTTTGCCTTATACTCTGATACCACAAAGACATACCTTACACTACCAGAGCTCAGCACTTCTGTGGGCTTACTGAACACCATTAACACTTTTGTGCTCTGGGCGAGCGAGAGCCAGAGCACCCCAAGGTGGGCCAGGCATTCTATGGGAGCATGCAGTATTCAATTTTGTCATATCAATTCTCATCCTAGGTTTTTAATTTTGGTATCAATGTGTTTGCAATAAAATTCCCTACATGAGTGTGTGCATATAATGTCCAGAACTGCAGCCAAACTGAAAGCAGGCCGAACTTTTTCATTTTTGATGCAATAAAAGCGTCATTCCCGCACATTCGTCTTAATAAAAATTTTTACGCCATGCTGCGTTGTCCCCGGGAGAAAGTTTTAACAGAATCTGGCAGGCTCATCAAGATAATGTGATCCTGGGGATCAGAGATCAGCCCAATTACAAAAATTGTGGTAATAAATTTTGGTGGAAAATAGAAGGCAGAGAATGAAGCAAACATGTTTGCCACTAGTTGGCACCTCAGGTCACCTGGGATTCCAGTTGGCACAAAATCTGAGGCACCAAGATAGGGTGAAGGCAGACAGTACAGAACCTACAATGAGGTCAGGAAGAAAGTCACTGAACCCTAGGGTGAGCTTGTTGTCATCTGGTAGCAGTCAGTAGGCTTAACCAGGCAGACCAGCTGGTGTTAATGAGAGCTCTTGTTTTTTGTTCACCTGTGATATAAAGCAAGGGTTAGGAAATGGTTTTGTTATTTATATAAAGATCGACTTGTTGGTTATAATTCCAAGAAGGATTGATTAATTTCTCTAGGAACTCACTTGGCTTAATGTGGCCCTGCAGTACTGAGCTATATGTCACCATGTTTGGCTGCACAACCCATATAGCTCCAGCCAATTCAATCTATACCAAGCCTTTGCTAGTCATTGTAAGCCTACTTGAGACCAGTGGCCAAAATTGGCTTCTTCTGTAGAAACAAAAGTAGAAGCAAAAGATGTGGAGAATACTAGAGCATGCTAACCAAGAAAGTCACCAGAAAGGTGAGCAAGACATTACAATCAGCAAGATAAACTGATCATAGAAAGCAAGACACTGAATCACACGTACCACTCATTCATGAAGTGGTGCTCTTGTTAGTTATACCAGTGCACCACCAGGTGAGCACAGATCTAATGCCTTGATCACCTTGCTTTGAAACAAAAGTCATTTTTGCCTGACAAAGATGCATTAACATGTTGCAATTATGCTCCATCTCTTTCCCCTGGACCAGGTGTTGCTCCGGGTTCATTCCAAACTTTAGATTTTCCCAGCAAATTTCTCATGTTAGGTTTTCGTTTTCTGCCTTGTTTTCCACAGCTCTGCTTCTTTCTATGGTTTGGCCTGGAGATGTTCCTCGATGATTCGAGACCCTCTGCCGATCTACACATTAGGCGTTCCGAGTATTATGTACCACTCATTGTACAGTCCACAGGTGGCCATTCTCTTGGTGTCCCACCTTCAACCTTTGTCACTGGAAGTTAGGTAAGGTAATTGTGAGGAGAAAGAGCTAAGCCGTTACGACTATATAGCACTTGGAAAGGATACAAGGATAAGACGGAGGGAAAGGCATATGGTTGGGGATTGGATGTCGACCTACAAGATAAGAGACTGTCACTCTACCATCCAGTCCAAGTGGTTGGGAACGGTTACTGGAACACTCTGGGTTGTTTGATTTTCCTTACATTCTTTTCTCTTTCTTCATTGTTTGTCCCCGGTGTCTGTGCCTGTTGTCCTTTTGTTTTTGTCTTGGTTGTTTGTGGACCGGTTTCTCATGCTGAATTTTGTCACCTTGTTCTCCCTTGGCAAAGCCATTGTTATTAGAATTTAGTGTCGCTATTTCATCAATGCCCCTTTGCAAGATTGCAAGATGTCCCTGGCATTTTTTCCCTTTGGCCCGATTATGCTTCGAAGTCCTTTTTGTCCGTCTCTCCTTTGTTTTCTGTTACGCCTTTGGACCAAGATTGCTCTTTCAGTGTTCTCTTTTGTTCTTTTTGTTGCAGCCTTCTTATGTTTTGGCTGAGGATGAGATGGTTGGTTCCCAGAGGGATCCTTTGATAATTGATGCTGGGTTGGTTTGGCCTGGAGTGAACCGATTCCTGTGTCTGTGGGCGTTCGGCATTTCCCGTGTTTCTAGTGATGTACAGGATAAATCCACTCTGTGCATCAGGTGTTTCTGGTCCCTTCTTCCAGGGCCCATTTGTCTTAGTTTGTCCACAGTGTCATCAAATTTAGCCAACCTGCTGTTTGGCCCCATGTTGTTTATATTTTTGTGGCTTTGACCGTGGAATTTTCAAATATGTCCTTGGCGAATATTCATGCTCATGAGTTTTGGCGATCCAGCAGAACGCTAGTAGCTCGGTGCCTAGTGAATGTGCCTGGTTCACACTGGAGTTGTGTAACTTTGGAGTGGCTAGTTCATCACTAATTCCCCCTTATATAGGTTTCTTAATGCAGCTCTCCTCTACCACTGGTGAGTAACACTTTTGTTTTGTTCTCTGTGGTGACATAGCAACAAGGAGCCACCATAGGAGCTCTTTCAGAAAACCAACGTTGAATGTAATGAAACGCCTCTTTCTGGTAGGTTCTTGGTGGCTCCTTGGACCCTCAAATGGCTGCTCCCCTCTCATTTCAAGGGCTTCGATTATCTGTCTAGGCTAGAGGATCAAAGAACTACATGCACACCTGATAGTATGATGATACAAATAATGAGTGAACTGCTTCATGACCAGGTGGTTCATTCAATTCGGTGCTTCGTATCCTGTTTTATATATTTACCTTGCTGGTTGTCTGTATTGCTTCACTCACTTTTCTGGTGGCTTTTTGTTGGTTAGTGCTCTAGTATCCTAGTATCCCTTTAGAGAGGGGCCAAGTTTTGGCCTCAGGTCCGTGGTAGGCTTGCAGTGACTCGCATGAGCCTGCTACGGATTGAATTTGGCAGATACATTCAGGCAGCTAGCAATAAGGAGCCCACCAAGACCCACCAGAAAGAGTAGCTTTATTACATTTATTGCTGGTTTTTGGATACTTGGTATCTAAAACAAATTTGTTTATTTTCTCATGGAATTTGGTACCAATATACGTGCAGCATGAATTTTATTGTGTTACTAAAATAAATCATTGACACTTGCCGGGTTGATACCTGGTTGATGGGGTTCTGGGAGTTCTTCTACTCCCCAAGCCCAGCCCGAGGCCAGGCTTGACTTGTGAGAGTTTGGTCCACTAGACTGTTGCTTGGAGCGGCCCGCAGTAATTACTTACAATAAAACACTAGCAAGCAGTAATAATTAAAGATAAACTACAAGGGCATCATCCCCTAGTTACTTTATATAATTGACACTCCATGACAGTATCTTGAAATTGAGGTGTGGAATGTGTGGATTGATATGTAGAATATTTATATTCCCTAATTTTGTCTTGCACAATATCATACAATATGTAAGTACAATATATGTTGAGTTCAATTACCACTCTATTTGTATTACTGTATCCCATGTGTGAATTCCAGTAATTACAGTTGTGATATGCTGTATTAATTTGCTGATTCATTATTTATTAGACTCCAGTTAATACTTTTTATTTACAGACTCCAATTATTACACTTGCTGGTCACTCCGAAAGTGTTGGAGGAGTTGTGTGGACAGGCAACAGAGAGGTGGCCACTGCCTCCTGGGATCATTCTCTCCGTATTTGGGATACCGAGATTGGAGGAGTAAAATCACAAATCAATGGAAATAATGCATTCTTTGCTGTTTCGTGGTCACCTCTTAACCACCTCCTTTTGACGGGATGTGCAGACAGGTTCATAAGGATGTATGATCCACGTATCACAGGTACTGTACGACTAACCTTAGCTTTGAAGTACTTTTTTTTAGAATGGCTGCAGACTCCTATACCATGACATGTTAGATTGAACTTATAGATAACCAAGAATAGCACGGCATATTTTTATGTACATCTTATAAATCTCTGGCTTTTAACTTTTTTCATCATATTATTATTGATGATTATTATTGTGGGGGTATGTGTGTGTGTGTGCTTTTAAACTCAATTACATGAACATCAAAAATATTTTATATAAATTTTCCAATTGCACTTAACACTTTCGCGCGGTGGGCGCACGACCTCCCCACTACCCCCGGTGGGTTTGGGCATTCCACGGGAGCGTGCGGTAATTCTGAAGTGTATACTCTTTTTCAACTTTGTCACCTCAATTCTCGTCCTACGATATTCAATTTGGTATCAATGTGTTCACAATAGAATTCTCTAGAGGAGTAAATGCATATAAACTCCAAAGGCCCGGCTTACCACCCACAGCAAACAGAGAAAGTGCGAGCGAGTGACCCGGGAGCGAACAACAGCGATAAAATGTGCACACTCTTTTCACTTTGGTCACCTCAATTTTCGTCCTAGGTCTTTTATTTTGGTATCAATGGGATCACAATAGGATTCTCTAGAGGAATATATGCATATAAAATAAAAAACCTGGTCATGCTCCACCGGCCAACAAGTTGAAGACGGGCCAAGTGTTACCCACAAGGGCGTTTTTATAGGTGGAGTGGATGGTGGGCAAGCATTGCTGCTTATCAGCCCAGAAATGTTTGGCCCAGAAAAAGCAGCACTTTCGCGCGCATTTTAAAACCAGTCCCCAAAAAATTAGATAAAACTGGATTTTTGGCAAATATTTTAATGGAGGACTCGATGCTGAGTCCTTACCGGACATCACTGTTTAACGGAGGACTCGATGCTTAGTTCTTACCGAGCGAAAGTGTTAATTAACTGCCTTTTATATTTATTAATTGCTGAACTCTAGCAGTTTAAATATGCAATCTGTCTTCCTTAAGGTCATGGTTAAGGAGTTGCTTTAGGGTTAGAAAGTTTTCTTTACATTCACAGCCGACATAATTGCCCGTCATGATAGAATACTAGTTGCCTGCAGTTATGTTGTAAGAAATATTCTGGGGACAGTCAACATGGATGGTGTCAGCTGTGTTTACATACCCTCACCACTTGATGGCTCCCTACAAAAATCTATATACTGTATTATTTCTTAGTTCATTTCTTTTAGTCTCACTTTCATATACTTTTTAAAGTAAATTCTTATTTCTAATTTACTATCAATAAGCTACTTTATATTGTGCTAATTAGACTTCAGTATTGTTCCTTATAATGCTTAATCTTGTATATTACTGTACTTGCATAAAAAAATGTTAGATACAGTTCATGGTAATGGTTCTTAAGACAAGCGCCATTAGCTGTTAAGAGATAAATTTACATTTATCCTCAATATATATTATTTGTAACCATTTTTGTGCATTTCATCATTTTCTATTCAATCATGTTTTGCTAAAGTTTTCAAGTTATGAACGAATCAATTTTATTCTTTACCAGATGGCTCTGTCGTGCAACAAAAGTTTTCATCACACACTAAATGGGTTCCAAGTGTGAAGTGGAGCACCACAAAAGAGCATCTTTTTGTGTCCGGAGGCTATGACAACCTAGTCAAGCTCTGGGATAGCAGAAGGTAAAGTACATCTTAGAATATTGTACTGTACACATTATATTGAGGGTTATCTTGAGGTTATCTTGAGATGATTTCGGGGCTTTAGTGTCCCCGCGGCCCGGTCCTCGACCAGGCCTCCACCCCCAGGAAGCAGCCCGTGACAGCTGACTAACTCCCAGGTACCTATTTACTGCTAGGTAACAGGGGCATTCAGGGTGAAAGAAACTTTGCCCATTTGTTTCTGCCTCGTGCGGGAATCGAACCCGCGCCACAGAATTACGAGTCCTGCGCGCTATCCACCAGGCTACGAGGCCCCCACCGGGAATGGGGTTCGGGAATGTCATAGATTTATTTATATTAGTTACAGTGAAATGCCTTGCAACCAGTCCAAGCTTATAAGTAACCTTTCTCTGTCATTCATCATCAATAATATTACCTTTGAGGATTGGTCTTTTGGTACATCCTCTCAATATTTTAGAGCATAGAAAATTGGAAATTGTTGGTGCTAGATGGATTCCAGATTTGTTAACTAACTAGATTTCTAATGCATCTAATCTAATACATTCATATCAGCCTGGATGGCTCCGGGGAGCCTCCGGGTCTCGCCCAGAAAATAGTTTCATTACATTCAACACTGATTTTTTGGTTATTAGCAAAATCATTTATTAGCTTGTTAATTGGTAACAAGCTTGCTTAGCTTAAATCTTTGTTCATCAGATATGCAGCCTTTTCCTCTGCACACTGCTGACTGATAAACGACACCCTCTGTGTACCCATTGCCTATTCTGAAGTATGCTTATTGGCAAATATTAATTAATTTAGATCCTCACTCTGCACTAGGTTTCGGTGTACATTTCCATAGTAAAATAATTTCAACTTGTAAACCATTAACATGATAAATAATATTCTTTTTTTGTGTGTTTCAGTCCCAAGGCTCCCCTTTATGATCTCTCCGGTCATGAAGATAAAGTTTTGGCGGTAGATTGGTCACATCCTGATTTCATCGTCAGTGGTTCTTCAGACTGCACAGTAAAAGTTTTCTCCAATGGAAAACCATAAAATGCTATGATTAACTAATTATACACCTTGGTATCTTTTTAACATTAAAGTAATGCTATTACTTTTGTGTTTTTAAAATTGTTCCTTTGTTGCATGTTGTTGGTAACCAAAATATTTACTTTTATTCCACCAAGCAAATTTCCATACATATAATATTGTAGTCCAGGGTGAGCTGTAAAAAGAATGATGAGACTTTATATGAGGAAGAAGAATCATGTGCAACAATGGGGAATTGGTGAAACTTGTAAATAAAGTGTATAGTTGTGGAATACTCGTTTAATGTCAAATGTCTCAAGTCATGCTCTCCTTCTCGGTGCAAGTTGAGACACCGAGCCACTTACAATAATGTTATGATGCTTGGTGTGCTTTGACCACCCATTTACTTATGAATGGATTAAGGTTTGCATACAAGCTTCCAATTATTTACAATTTTGTACACATACTTGGTGTTTTGTAGGCACACAGGTAGCTCTATGATAGCCTCTTCCACTGAAGAGTAGGAATTTATTTAAAACTTTTAAATTTTCTGCATTCACTTTTACATTTTGAATGAATTATTCAATTTTACTGATCTTATTTTCTATTTATTAAGTTTGCAGAATCTGGCAGTGATATTAATGAAATAACCATGTCATGTGTTGACAGTTGGAAAAGTCTGGTATAACATGTGAGATGATACACATACGCACACATGATATTTAGTGTATCCACATCCAATAGTTATGAATTCTATATTGTGTGTAAATTTCAAATTAAAATTTAGAATTCACTCTTTAATAAAAATTAAGAGATACACAGGTTTGAATAAACTGAACAATATTTGAATTTTAGCATGCATCAGCATTTCTATGCAAAAATTGTGTGGAGACAAATATATGAACAACTAGGTGAGCTGAATTAGTTTTAATTTGCTTCTGAGACCAAACACAGTTCAGACTTCATCCATACATAATCCCTCATAACTTTGCAACGATATGTGATGACGCTGATCAAGCACATGTTTCACTGGATGGCGCCCACTGGAATACCAGCTCAACTAGCTATAGGTTCTTAAATTATGTAAAGGTGTATATATATATATTGCCTTTGTTTGCTCAAGTCAGTTTGAAGTAAATATTTATGGTTTGTGTATTCAATGAGATAAATTCCTTGTGAAAGCTTGACTATAACACTTGTGTGTCATATTGTGTATTATCAGCTTGTGTTAAAAAATGACTTTTAGAATTAATGCAGGTAAATTAACACAAAAATACTTTGTATTCATTATAAACTGTAAATAACTGAAGAGTTTGTTAAGTAAATCTCCTGTACACACATTAATTGGATGGTGTATTACGTGTAATTGTGCCGAGACAAATAAACCTATAGTTTTATAGCTGGGAACACTGTTTTCATTGATTACAGACTACCAAGAAGCTTCTTAAGATATCTACATATTAGAAGATTTGGTGCAATGTTGATCACTTACATAAAATCCAGACATAATTCTTGAGTCATGTGAAGAAGGCAGTTCACTAGTTTTGACTTGATGTATACCTTTGTAAAATTCCCTGTGTGGATTACAGGGTAGCTCTACATGGTTTACTTAGTTGTTTAAATGATTTAAACCAATAGAATACATATGAGCTAAGTAATTTATTTTTACTTTGCTCAATTTTATAGCATGTCGATTTCTGGTGTGCTCGTAGAGGAAAAAGGGTCATGGAGATCTTGGGTAAAGAAAGCTAGAATAGCCACAGTCCATAAAAGTGGAAGTCACATTAACAACTAACACCAGTATTAGACCTAACTACTGTACATTATCTATTATATTTGAGAAATTAATATACAAGCAGCTCTACTCCTACTAAGCTAAACATGATATACTAATATCTTGTCAGTATGACTTTTAACCCTTAAAAAAATACCAATGATGCTATAATAAATATGCTTAACACTCTTAGTCCTTAAAAATATATACCTAATGGGGTTATTTCTTGACCTTCGAAAGGTCTTTGACAGTGTTAACCATAATAACCTAATTAAATTACATCATTATGGGGTCAAAGATCACTCCCTATAATGCAATCCAATCCTACCTCAATGACCCAATAATATGTTTCAGTGAATGATGTTAATTCTTCCACACTCCCTATTCATGCTAGTATTCCACAGGGGAAACATTCTTAGCCCCATTTCTCTCTGATGCACATCATGACTTACCATGAGCACAGTACCACATAACACCTTAGCCAATAATATTTTTGTCAAATACTAGCCCAGTTATTCTTGCTGAATAAAAAATATGTGTATATGTGGTTGATTACTAATAAACTCATCTTAATTAACAATGGCAAGATTTACTACATATTTGGAAATAATATTACAGCCAAATATATATACTGTATAAGAATAAATAATATCCAAATTAACTGCAGAGCAGTTATTTATATGACAATTTAAATTTTAATTACCATGTGTAAATATAACAAAGTACTGTATATAAAAGCTGCAGGCATGCTTTTCAAACCCTGTTCCTGTGTACCTCGCTCCTCATTCTTTAACGAGCTTCACAAAATTGTTACACTACTTGCTTACCTCGTGGTGACTTTCGGGCTCAATGTCTCCTCGACCAGGCCTGGTTGCTGGACTAGTTAACCAGGCTGTTAGACGCGGCTGCTCGCAGCATGACGGATGAAACACAGCCTGGTTGATCAGGTATCCTTTGAAGGTGTTTATCAAGTTCTCTCTTGAACACTGTGAGGGGTCGGCCAGTTATGCCCCTTCCGTGTAGTGGAAGCGTATTGAACAGTCTCGGGCCTCTGATGTTGATACAGTTCTCTCTCAGAATACCTATTGTACCTCTGCAATATTCTGCGCATCCTATTGTCCAGAGCACCTATTGCACCTCTGCACACCCTGGCATGCCTTCTGGTCTCGTGTAGTGTTATTTCTGTGTGAAGGTTTGAGACCAATCCTTCTAATATTTTCCACATGTAAATTATTAGGTGTCTCCTGCCTGTGCTCAAAAGAATACAGATTAGACATTTTAGTCGGTCCCAATAGTTTAAATGTTTTTCTCCAGCTTTGAAAGGGGCTGTCATTGTGCACCAGTATTCTACTCTAGAGAGCACTAGCGTCTTGAAAAGTATTGATGGTACAGCATCTCTAGTTTGAAAGGTTCTTGTTATCAAACCATTTTTCTTGCCATTGTGATGGCTACTTATTGTGTTCTTTAAAGGTAAGGTCTTCCGACATGAGTACACCCAAATCCTTTACATTGCTTTTTCGTTCCATGGTATGATTTGACTGCGTTTTGTACATGGTTTCTGTTTTTATATTTTCATTTTTTCTGTAACATAGGAGCTGGAACTCATCTTCATTAAACACCATATTAGAAAAGGTACCTGAGTAAGCACAGTACCCTGGGCGACTGAGCTCTTCACGGTTGATGGTCCGGATTTTATTTTGCTGACTATTACACATTGGGTTCTGTTAGTCAGGAAATTGTAGATCCATCTGCCTATTTTCCCGGTAAGTCCTTTGGAACGCATTTTGTGTGCAATAACACCATGGTCACGTTTGTTAAAGGTTTTTGTGAAATCTGTGTAAATTACATCAGCATTTTGCTTGTCTTTCATGGCATCTAAGGTCATGTCATAGTGGTCCAGCAACTGTGATAGGCAAGAGCTCCCTGTTCTGAACCCGTATTGTCCAGGGTTATGGAGATGCTGTGATTCCATGTATTTTGTGATCTTGGCACACTACTTAACTAACTAAACTCTGGAGTTCAACTCCTGACCCTGTTGTGTGCCTCTGTCACTCTTTCCACCACTGCCCACTGGATGAGTATAGGGTGCATAATAAATTATTAAAATTAATGAAATATTCTTCCCTGATTGCACTACTGTATATATTACTTGCTCATTCATATTTCAGTTAAGGTTCTATGGGTACCTATCTCTTCAGCTTAACTCCGTCCTTCCCCCTTTACCTGCAACTGTTTTTTTGTCCTGTCCTCACTTTCCTGCCTCTGCAACTTTTCCCTCCTCTTACCTCAAATCTCCATCTCCCCCTATCTCTGCATCTTTTCCTTCTCCCTATTGACAAATCTCTCCCTCACTACTATCTCCACCACTCTCATTTCTTTTTGACAACAAAATCTAGAAGATATGATGTCAATGTTGACCAAACCACACACTAGAAAGTGAAGGGACGACGACATTTCGGTCCATCCTGGACCATTCTCAAGTCAATTGTGAATTGATCTTCACTTTCTAGTGCATGGTTTGGTCAACATATTTCAGTCATGTTATTGTAACTCCTCATCTGCATGATGTCAATGTTGAATACTGATTTCTAAGTTAGCCTTTGTCAGTCTTCCTCTCCTTTATCCCAAGTAATGTTAAATACTCAAGATAAAGGAGAGGAAGACTGACGAAGGCTAACTTAGAAATGTACCTGTGTAAGAGTGGTAGTGGAAAAGGTTACAAAGGCACAAAATGGGATCAGCAACTCGACCCCAAGGTTCATAGAGCTATGCAAGTTACAACCTTGATGAGCTAGTTACATAGTTCTTCATGTGCTTCACATGAAGCTTCACATGTACTTCACAGTTATCAAACCAGGAATTGACTTGCCCAAGAGCACCGCACGTAACACAAAATAATACTAGTTTGGCATCTGCGCATGTTTTATAATGATATCCACACATCAATGTATATAGTTTAATCCTATTCTCTAATTTGCAAGTTAAAAATCTAAGAAGTTAGAGATATTAAACAGTCTTGATGTTGGACAATGGTACTGTATTTTGAGTTTGAAATAAATCATCCTAAGTAAAATATTCCAGTAATAAGTAATATACTGTACATGCTAACCATATACTAATATAATTTGCTATACAGCACTTCTTTTTAGGTTATATTTTCATAAGCTTGTTCATATTTTTGTCAGAGATAAGTTTGGGCCTGAGGCGAGCACTAAGCCACAGGCATAAACCTTATAATAATACCTGGTGATTCTTACCTAGTTACAGTATAATCATTTTATTCATAAATATACATATTACGCTGGTTTATTTATAGGTGCAGAGGTTTCATATTGAAGCCACTAAGATGCAGTGTTTCAGGCATAACAACATTAATTAGTTAATTTTTTAAGTTTAATGGGGTGACACATTTAATTCTAAACAATAGGCAAGTTAACATACTGTATATGAATTCGTCAAGAAATTTAACCTATGATATAAACGTTTTAAATGATAATGATGAGAGGGATATACTACTTTATTAAAGAAGCTGAAGTTTTAGCAAATTATAGATATACTGTACAATTGTATATTCGAACGAACAGTAGAGAATGAATCGACTTACTGTACTTAGGATGTGAAGTTTGTTACAAGTTAATTACGTAATTCTTAGTTTTTCTTTTTGTCTGAGAGAAGCACAGTTTTTAACTTCATTTGGAAGGTCATTTACATATTAGGCCACCTTGCATAATGTATATGTAGTTGAAAAGTCACTAGCACACAGAGCATTTCAGGTATAGCTTAAAATAATTCAGTTACATTGCTCACAGGAGTAAACACTAAACAGTAAGCGATCTTGAGAATTAAGCTAGCATAAATGAACTGTTTAGGAAATTATCAAATTATATACAATATACTGTATATGTGATACTTAATAAGGAAAGGCATAGACTACTTTCTTATAGAATCTATAGTTTTCGTAACAGTACAGATACATAGTTTTAGTAACAATACAGATACATAGTTTTTAACATTTACAATAGCAGTAAAAACAAAATTAGCATATCTTGGATGAGGAAATTAAGTGAAACGTTACAAGATGTTAATTAGATATTTCTTTGTCTCTTTAAAAGTGGATGAGACTTTGGGACCTCTTAATTTGCATTGCATTTTTGCTTTGGTTGAGTTGCATTCGAGGAACATGAAGAAGGTATTTGTTTATCATGTGGTGGTATGGATCTTGTTACAGCCCTTATTGGAAGCATTTCAGGTCAGGATTAGTATTGCAGTCCGGAGTTGTATAGGTAAAATAATAATTTAATACTTAATTTTGTCGGGGGGGGGGGGGAGACAGGCAGCCTGTCCTAACATGTATATATACATGTTAGGTCCCCTAAGATTGAACTACTGACCCTCCACAGGATGCATCACCATAAAAAAAAACTTACTATCTCCTGGGTACCTAGTTACTTCTAAATGAACAGCGGCATCAGGTGATACAAAACATGCCCAACCATATCTGTCCCGACCCGGATTTAAACCAAAGATTCCCAATTGTGAGTCAAGAACGAACCCTACTGCACTACCAGAGCAGTATACTTCACTATAGTGTGTGTGAAGTGACATATTAAAGGATTTCAGTAAGGGTGCTGAA